CCCAACAAGGCGGCATAGGCGGTAGCAGTGTACACGTAGCTCATGTTGTCCGAGTCGGCGGACATGTTGTGCGATGTGAAACCGGCAGTTCCAGGGCAGCACTGTAGGTATGTTGGAAAGAGAGCTCACAGGATGTAGTTGACAAGACGATGTCGGCTCGAAAGTCGATGGCCGCCAAGGATCAGCGAGGCCTGGGAGAGGCGCTCAGAGGGAAGGTCAAGGACCGGGCGCACGGTGCAAAGACGACCCGATCCAGAGAGTGATGGCAATGATTGCTTGGACCCAGGTATCGTGATGATTTGGCGATGAAGGGTGTCGCAGCGGTATCGAGGGGGTATTAGGTTGATGGCGGAAGATGTTCTGCGTTTGACAAGGTGATGGAGGAAAGGAGATCAGGGGTGGTGGGGTGCGGCAGTGCGAAGACTGATAAACAAGAGCCAAGCGGCTATGTATCACAGGGACGTAACACAGACAAGCAGGAAACAAAGGGTTGGAAATCAATTGGGAGGTGCAAAAGGAGGAAGAGCGAGAAGAGAATTTGTAGAGAAGCTGGGAGATGCTGAAGAGGGCAGTGAGGAGAGGAAAGTCGAAAAGGGAAGCCAATCTGGTGGGACAGCGGAATGGCCAGATGTCAATTGCACTTTAGCCTGCATGTGGATTGCGCCGGTCTGGTTGGCCAGCTACTAATTGAGACGACGCACTCCTCAGGTCCCAGTACGGAGTACCTAGGTACCTAGGTACTTATACCCGGGGGCCCCGTGCAGCTGCGCATGCGCTTTCAATGTTGGACATGAGTAAGTACGGAGTACAAGTAGAAGAATATTGCCTTTTTGACAGCACAACATTTACTCGGGTGAACTGCAACACTGCATGTGGACGTGAAAAAGTATAAATACCTGGCCGGCACAGAAGGGCAGGGTATAACACACCAGATGAAAATGCCACCTGGGACTTGTTTTTGCCTGTGCCTGGGTACTTGGGGCCATACAGAGTAGGTCATATGTACATCCGCGTAAGTACTTGGCCATTCACCTCAAAAGTTGAGTTGTGGCAACGTTGCCAAATGGCACTGGGGTCTTGGCAACACTGGAGAGCTGCGGATGCCGGCCTGAATGTTTTGCCAGGGAGCAGGTGCTTACATGTACCCAGGTACCCAAGTACATGGATCTACGTACCGTCCCGCGGCGCTTGCTTCTAGTAAGCGGGTGCCGGGCTCTAGACAAACATTGGTCTTCACCAAAAAGCCTTTCGCGTGAAAGGTACATGTAGTCTTGAGGGAAAAGATGCTGCTTTACAATACCAGACCGCTGAACTATAAGTACTTAAGTAGCAAAAGCTCCCGATTGTATGGGCCGGTCCCAAAAAGCATTCAGTCCGGGCCTCGTTCAGTTTGATCGCCTAAATCCCCCCTTAGACATGAGTTTTACGCACGACTTTAGCCAGCAAAGCGGTACCACTCTTACAAACTTACGTACCAATGCAAGGTGCGCTAGACGCAGCTGCTTTAGACTAACACATCTTGGAGTCGGCGCAATTTTACTATTTGGTGTATTGGCGCATTGTGCTCACCTTTTTGGCGCGTGGCATAGCTAGCATATACCGAGTGCCTACTAGCCTGTTCCTCGCTTAAAAAAACGCACTTGGCGAAATCTTCTGGCTTATAAGCTTCCACAGCTGAAACCCAGATTAATAGTATTACGTATAACGCTAAAGAAAAATCTTATAGTGAATTCTTAAATTTATACTAAAACTCGGGCTGTTATTATAGTAAAGTTAAAGCAATTAAAATACAATCAAAACTAGTAGTCCTTAATAAGACTCTATTCTTATTCCTGCGGTTTTATAGGAGAAAGCAAATATAATTTGTACTCTCTGCTGCATTTCAAAACGCCGTGTTGCTTGGTTATATTACAAAAGCACCAAAATTGACCCTCTGGTGTTGCCTTATAGAGTTGTAAAATAGTATATATATATAGTCGGTTTTGGCCACAATTTATAGCGTACAAAGAATTATCTGATAGTATATATCGTAAACGCCCCATGTTTTTTTGTTGGAGATGTATCTTATTTTCTTGATATAATAACTGCAAGATTGTCACGTATTTCTGTAATTACCTTAACCTCGACTTAATTATCTTCCTGCTTACTCTAGTCCAGATACGCGATTATTTCTTCTTTTTTCTACCCTCTTATACCCGATAGCGAATCACAACGTCTCGACATGTATTTGTAATTTAAACACCAAGCATAACTTTGTTTGTTATAACGTAAAGGTAGCCTGTTTGCCTTGCAATATATTTAATTAGTCTTGATGCTCCCCTTGGGTTGTGCTGTATACTACGCCTACTTTACGGCATTACAGCGAGCATATAGTTGCAGGCGAGTCGTACTTCTGGGTTCAATGTTTATATTTTTGATTTCTTTAGCATTAAAGGTGATAAATAAGCTGTGTCCTCTGGATAAAGTCCTGGCGACGCTTGCTTGTGTTCCAGTTGGTAAGGATGGCACCGGGTATGGTTTGATATATTGTTGCAGTTCGGCTTCCGTTAGACCTCGTCTGGTTTATCACCTGGAGTGGCGTCCATTTCCCTCATTGTATTTCCTAATAGATCCGCAGGGGCGGCTAAACTCTGTAAGAGCTTGTATGCCGCAGAGCACAATTGTTCCCAGCCCTTGTATGCCCGATTCGGTGGCATCTGCTGCAAGTGGCTCTATTGTCTCAAATAAACTAGGCTCCCTTCTCGTGCTCTGCTTAAGGGGGGGGGGCCTATGAAGGCCTATGACTTGTCACGAGGAGTCAAGAAGAGAAGATGTTGTCAGATAAGGGAGCTGTATTCCATTTCAAGAAAAAAAGGAAGAGGAGGAAGAGGAAGATAAGTGATTGTCCAACCCAGAGTCTGCACAATTTTGATCCCATCAAGTTTTTCCAATAGTAGTGACTCTTTAGAAGGATATACCTGGTGTTCTAACCTTGACAGAATGGACGTGGCTGTGCAGGTAATAGTGATGAATGAAGATGATGAGCTACATGGTGAGATTTTAGATGGAAGTTGAGTGGCATTAGGGCATGTATAAACAACATGTAGAGTTTGGTTATACAATTGCTCACAAAGATGACGAATAAATGAAATTGTTAGTACAGTAGGTAATGCAAGAGGTTGTGTATACGTCTTTATACTAAGTGATAGCCGCCTCTTATCCAGTTACAACAACCCCACTGGCACAGGGGATGCTGCTTGAAGTGTCGGATTCCGTGGGGACACATGTGGAATGCTGTTATTCAAGCCGACTTACTTGACGAGCGCGGTCGCGAAATATACGCTTTTTGCACACCAAACCCAGATGGCCCGCAACTCCGCGTGGCGGATGAGCATAAAGCGACAGCCTACTACGGGCCGGGAGATGAAACTCCAGAGAGATCAGCGGCCAGAATCGCACTCGCCAATAACCATCTCCACAACGCCTTTTACATTCTTCGGCAGTTACTAAACACAGTGGCGGTGACTTGGTCGGAAGACAGCTTTGTGTATTGTTGGCTGGCAACAAGAATGGGAGGCATTCTGGAAGGCGCGTGACCTTTATTTTACGGCTCGAGATGGTAAACAAAAGATTCTTGGCAGAGATGACTGGTCTGTCCAGAGACTCCAAAGCAAGTTGGAGAAGCTAACGCATAAGCTAGGGGAGTAGCAGACTTGCGTGTTGTCATGTACGTGATGTTACATGTACTAAAATGCTAAAGGAATATAACATCACCGTGAATATATAAAAGTGTAATATCATAATTGCTCAAGTTATATACACGTAATATCCCGGCCCTTCTGCATCTTGTCGAACCTCTAATAGTGTATTCTCTTACCGAGCCAGCTGCGCCAGGATCGACGAGACAAGTTGCAGCTGGTTCTTAATATTAGTACTATCCCAATCGCTGCACTTTACGAGTCGTCTTTCCCGCTATCTTGAAAAGCCTAGCGTTTCGATCAGCCTTTTCGCGCTCTGCTCTAGCTATTGTTCTACGCGTGATAAGATATGAGCTTTGACTTGCTTCGCGTTGCGGCTGTGGAAGACCAGTCATGTAACGAGGGATCTGCGGCCCCTTGTATTATATCCCTTGTAGCTAGGATACTAGTGTATACTTTTTAATTACTATCAAAAATCTTTTCTTTATTTTTGCCCCGATCCGGCTATATAAGTTAGTAGTTAATATTACCAGATAGTTAGTAATCTAGGCACGTCTACTACTAACAAGGCTGTAACTATAAGTCTCTATTGCGACTTCTATCCTCTCCTTGGACTAAATCCGACGCGCTGTTAGCCGGATTATTTTCTTCACTTTAAACGCGACTTTAGTAAGGAGACGACTGTCGCTCCGAAAGGCCCTAAGACTCATATTCCCCAAAAGCCTACCTTTATTCTGTCACGTTATGAGACTTATTAACTAAGCTTCTGCTTGAAATTTCTACGAGTACAGGCAAATCCAACTCTACTACAGTTGTATTTGCAATTCAGTGAAATTAAGCATGTACAAGGGTGCTAGAGTTGGGTTTCGCACACCCATGTAGACTGGTTGAAATTTGTCCTCTGATCCTTGTACAGTTGAATTAAATCCAACCAAGCAGCACGATATTTTACCACAGTTACTGAAATTATCCAATGACAGTAAGCCAAACAAGGCCGTCAGGGGAACTCATCTACTGTGTTCTTGACTGCATAGTTATACGGTCCACATAGTAGCTAAACAGCTTCCTTGCTAAAGCCGAAGCCAAAGAGAGACAATCTGTGCTGACATGTGCAACTACAAATACAGACCTACAAGGAGAACGAAGGACCAGCCACTATCATCATGACGTGCGACAAAGGTATGACAGAAAAGCGACTGAATCAACCCTCGGTTCCTGTTTTCTCATACCTCGTAGTAAAAGTTTTCAGAATAATTCCCCGCAAGCGGCGAGGTTGCTCCGTTGACCCAAAATCCCCTAGTTTGCCGAAACTTGTCTTGGCTCCTAATCCTGCGGCTGTGAGTCATCCAGCTCCAGGTCTGGTTCCAGGGCTTCCAAGTTCGCTGTTGCTTTCGCCTTCTTTGGTGGTAGGGGCTTGGTGACGCGCACACCAACGTATGGTTGATAGTTGTTGGGCAGAGGCGTCTTGAGAATACCCTTGACGACCAACTTGCGACGGTAGGTTGCAATTCCAGCTTTGACCCCGAGGCCATCCAACTCGACTGCTCCACCAGATTTCTTTTGCAATGTTCTCTTTAGAAAGTCAGTTACCTGTCGAACAACATCATCCGAGACTGACGCCATGCTCTGGTTGAATTTCTTTAACTGGGCTTCAATTTGGTTGGTCGCGAAAGCAACAACAGTGCCAGTCGGAAGAGATATAATTCCCTTGATGGCATCAGCCTCATTGATCAGATCTCCCCAAAAAATCACCCAGCCCCCCTTTTCAATACGTTCTCGCGTTTCATTTCGGTCAGTCACCTCCGTTGCCGGGGGAGGCTTTAGAAGGGGCGGCGGCCACTTGATTTTGACCCCCGGGATCTTGAAGTCGCTAACCTCTGCCATGATGAGATTTAGTAAGTAAAGGAATAGAAGATATTGGGAGAAACTTCAGGATTATAGTGCAGATAAACACAGCAAAAGACGAAAAGGCAACCGCAGGAGGACTCCTGGGGGAGGGGGGGCTTCTCCTTTTATAGAAAACTACCGAGGTATATGAGTTGCCCAGAGTTGTTGTGACGCCCTTGATGAAATGTGAAACTAGGCATGGATGGGCTGAAGTCCAGCTGGATGATTGCGCTGATTGGGATATTTGCTGTGAAACATTATAAGCACTTTGCCTAGACCCTGCTGTGGCTGCGGCTGGAAACTCTATGAAGGACCTAGGCCTTGTTGTAACCTATCCTTCCGTAAATGACTAACGCCCTTCAGAACCTTGCATACTCTGAGAAACCTGCCCGATATCAGCCACGGCCGTGTAGCACTCTTAACAACCAACAAGGCGGCCGGCAGCACTCGGGCCAGGAATACATCCATTACATCTATGAACAGTATCAACAAATTGTGGAGGAGCGTAAACGGTATATTGGTGTTCTGGACATTGGATGTCGAGAATAGATTGACCTTTGTGCGGCGGCTTGGCCATGATAATTCAGTGAATATAACCATGATTGTATGAAAATGGTACGGCCTTGGTATTCCGTCGTTTCCTGCTTCTCGACGGTTGACGGTCGCACTATGGAATAGCCAAGATGGCTGCAAGATGGCTGAGCCTTTTTCTGGTCTGGGCCCTCAGCTGTGGTCGCTACGAGCAAATTCCCCCCTCGTTGGAAAGGAGTACTTGACGTCTATTGGGAGCTGTATATGGACGCTGTACATAAGCTTATATCGCGCCCGCCTTTAATACACACACCAGACATTTGATGCAGCCTGCCACGCCCTTGACAGCGGTGCAACCCGCCCCCAAAATCCACCCTTGATAAAAGACTAGCTAAAATTCTAAATATCTCACCTCTCTAAACTCTATTGGTGGCCAAAACTTTATCGAAGCCGTCTCTCAATCAGCTCTTGCCGCCAACCGCCAAGTATCCATGTCCTGACCAACTGGGCAGGACGCGTAGTTGGTGGCTTTGGACTCGAGCACTTGACACCAGGCCACATGAGACAGGCATGGTGAAACGGTCATGGAATGACTGCATCGCACCACGACGTTGACATCCGTGTCCCGGACGCAGAAGATATTGGGAGCTACAGTACTTTGGTCATTGTGGCGTTTTCTTTTTGTTTTTCAAAGTAAAAAGTTTGACCCCGCACAAATACCTTATTTTGGAGGTAAATTATTTAAGTTGGCGGACGCCAGGCTGAACCTGGACAGCCCGCCCTGTACATACCAGAAGGAGCGCTTGAAGCCAACTGCCGATATCAGCTTTCCTAAACGGGATTTGCCAAGCCCTTGGCGTTTTGATGCAGCTGAGAATAATGTACAATGTATACGGCTGAACAAGACAACAAAGAACATTCAAGGTTGAAGAAGCACAAAATCTGTCAAGCCAGCCTGGGAAACAACTGAATCAATACACTTACCGGATTAATTGAATGCTATACAATCATCCCCTCTATCTTGTTAGGCCTTGACTGCAGCAAATTACCTTTTCCCCCTTCGAGAGAATGCTTGGCCGTCTAGGAAACCAACTGCGATTCCCGCCAAAACCAATAAAATCCTGGCCATTACTACTTTTCATGACCCTCTACGCTACACTTGCTTGTGGCTTCAAAGTCAGCACTCACATCTACCTTGGTCAGGAACTGGTCAACGACCTCAAAACCTGTTCACAAAAGAATGGCTTTGCCTGCGTCAACATCATCAACAACGACGGCCAGCTGCATCCCACGCGAATTCGCAGTGCGGTAGCAGAAGCCATCACTGGAAACGAAAAGACTTTTCTGACGGGAACCCTTGGGGCCGACGCCTTTGCCGATATCCTCAGCGGGCAGCTCATCACACACCCGGGGCTTTTCAACCAAGACGACGGCACCGTCACAGGATTCGGCACCGGCGATTGGGTTGATCACCTTATCCGGAATGCCCAGTCTGCCGAGGAGCTGGCTTTTGCCATGGGCTTTGCGGGCCACGCAGCGGCCGACGTCTTTGCTCACTCTTATGTGAACCAGTTTGCCGGTGACGTCTACGAACTCACTGATGGCGAGGTCGACGTCGAAACTCGCCACATGATGGTCGAGACTTATATTTCCGAGCACAACCCACGCCTTAAAGACCACAACGGCCAGGAACTGGGTATGATGTACCAATACCTCGGCGGGGGTGCAAAGGTTTATGCTCCCATTGACTTTGTCCGCCGTACTCTTGTCGCAAAGGATGTGGCCAACCAAGAGTTGGGCCGTAATAAGGGTGGTGCCCTGCTTCGAGGCCTGAACAAGATCACAACCGAATTAACAAACTCCCTTTCCAAGAAAGACTATCCCTTTGACCTCAAAGCCACTGTCCAGAAATATATGGCTTCATCCTTACCAATGAAGCCTTTGACGGAATGGTTAGCCCAAACGCGCCGAGACCTCGAAGGCGCGGGCATAGTTCAACAGCTCGAAATCATTATCCTTCAAGCAGTAGCCTACTACTGGGCCGGCGTGCAGGTCGATGCGAACGAAGCTGCCCTGGCTGCCGAACTTAGCAACAAGCTCAGCAAGCTCCTCGGCAAGTCGGGTCGAGAGATTATCAATGCCAAGGACGAGATCGACGGCCTCATGAAAAAAGTTATTGAGAGCCACAATCAACAAGTCCTCGCCGGAATTGAAGCCCTTCAAGGCTTTCACAAACACTTGGCAAACGGCTTTAAAAACTACCTCGTGGCCGAACAATTCGTGGCGGATTTTGGACGAAAAGTCACAGAGACAAAAGACGTATATGAAAATCTATTGGCCCAAAAAACCTGTACTGTTATACAACAATGCCGAGACATTGTCGAGGTGATTCAGCATTCCGAGTTTGTTGCAAAGACGTGTGAGGAAACGAAACGAGAGGTCAATCGAGTCTGCAAGGTAGTCTCCGTAGGGTTCGCCCCGCATTGCCGAGTCTTCAAAAAACTGGGAATCAAGCATTGCAAGAACGTCGAGCAATTCCAAAACCGCTGCGAAGACCAGGTCAAAGATGTGACGCGTAAATGGGACTGCAGTTTTGTCAAAAAGCGGACCGAGACGTTGACCAAACCTGACTTGGCCTGTCAAGCCGCAAGGGATGCTTGCCAAGTGACGTTGCAAGTCTTGCGGGCAAAACAACAAGTCGCCAACAACGCACACAATGAAGCCGTCCGCATCCATACAGGCACACTGGAGACGCTGGCCAAGGAAGACAAGATTGTCCAGGCTTCGCTCAAGGCCTTCTACGACGCGACTGTCCACCTCCAATCCATCGAGCGACAAGCGCGACTGACGGTCCAAAGCTTCGCGAGTAACCAGCTAGAGCTCGTACGAAAGTCCCTCCTCGATCTCAGGGCCCACGTGGAAGAATGGCGTCATCAATCGATGGCTGCGACCAACGATTGGATTTCAGCAAACGCCCAGGCCATGTTGAATTCGGTCAGTGTAGACAAGGACAACGTAGGCGTCGCCGAACCCATCATGGACTGGATGACATGTCGCCTGCCAACCGTCGTCTTGCCTATCCCTGTAGCGGCTACCGAGTCGATTTGCGAACCCTTGAGACTAGTCAAGAGGATTCACGGGGAAATTGCCCGCATCGAAAACGATGTCATCAAATCCTTGGCAGATGCTAAATTCCCTTATCTAAGCGACGTTGCGGCTGCCTTTCTCCGATTCAAAGAGTCCGCGCCCTACATCGCAAGCTCGCTTATCCAGAACATGGCAGAAGAGGCTGTTCCGATGAATCCCGAACCGGATATGAGCCTTTTGCATCACGCATTCACGAGCAAACATAGCGATGTGAAGATGAATAAACAGTTTGCTCATGATGGCACCACAAAACACCTCATTACCTTTCCAGTCCAAAAACTCAAAGGCACCATCATCGACCACATGCGTGTCGATATGGGCTTGACCGGCTCTGACAATCACGAGCCTTTTGCAGTGCAAAACTTCAACCCAGCTCGCAATGCTCTGCAGTTGATGAAGCTCGCTCTGCTAGGGGGCAGCGATCTCAATGCCTTTTCGAAGGCGATGAATTATGCAGGTCCACCACTTTTTGACGACAGCCTAACGAGCCTTCTTTCGCCTTGGTTAAGGTCGATCGATGGTAATCACCAGTGGTTGCCTGTAGCTCCTGCGTATCTGCGCAAGGAAGCTCTGGCAGATGGGCAATGGAAAAATTCCTACTGCCCCAAAAATCGTACTGATGTTCGTCGTCGTTTTCAAAAAAAGCCTTTGCCCCTGTACAGCAACGAGGCTGCAAAGCGACTCGTTTTCGACCGCGTCTTCAAAGGGCCATTATCAATCAGCTTGGAAAGTGACGCGGGTGGATTTGCCGACCTACGTCCCCGGGACTACATGTACAAGCCGACATTCAACAACAGCTTTCCCGACATCCAGCCCGTCGGCGTAATCTGCCCCGGGGAGGGAGCGGCTCTGACCGGGGGTGAGTCGAGCACAATGTACTACTACAATAGTGATACCTACGCTTTGGGAGTCGGCCATGCGTGGGATACCAACGGTTCAGAGCTTTTCAACACCAACTCTGAGCCTTTTGTCGGCTCCATGCACCAGAGAGCCCTGATCAAATGTCGCAACTACTGGGGTGCTGTTTCCTATAATTTTGACACGGACTGGGGCGTCGACTTTGACTTTGGCAGAGCCCGTACGCTCAAGTTCAGCGCTGCATCGAGAAGTGGTCCTCGTCAGCTAATTGTACAACTCTATGGCGAGAAGCAAGAGACTGCTAAACTTGCTGTTGATGTTGATCGCCTCTACAATATTTACGAGTTTGAAATGGCTGATTTTAAACAGCCAGGTTTTGATTTTGACTTTTCTAAAGTCAAAGGCATAATATTTGCAATTTCTGAAGAGAATTCTGATGTTACAATCGACATTGATTCAATCCAAGTACAGAAATAGGCTACCATAAGAGATGGATTGGCCGTTATCAAAGCTATAAAATCTTATATTTTGTAACGCCCTAGCGAGTAGTATATTGACAACTGACTAGACGATTCCAAGAAATATCCAAAGCTAAAGAAAGAAGAGAAGAAAGATCAAAAAAAGAAGAGCTCGAGGAACTCTTAAGCTCCTGAGCTCGCCGCTGCTAATCTCGCTTGTCGGCGGGCCCCGCCATTGGCAGCTTGTCGATGGAGGCGAGAGCGCAGCCGAGCCATTCTCGGGCCTAGCCCGTCACAGTATCATGGGGGTTGCGCCCATAAAATAAGTGGGAAGCAGTACGCACTACTCCGTACATCGTACATACTTTAGTAAAAAGAAGCAGTGGCGAATAACAATAACATTTGAGCATGGAAGGCTCTGGTGCGGCTCCTTCATTGTTCCTTCCAGGCCCACTCCATCCTCGTGAGGGGTCAATCCGGCGGTGGCGTGCATCGACCCGGCCAAGCGGGCTTGAAAATCTGGTGCCTGCTCATTTGATCCTATCAGCCTGGCACCGCCGGGCTAACTGTCAAGTCTCATCACCCGGCCCGCGACATACATATTTATTTAGGTAATGTGCGTATGCATGTGCATACATACATACATACATACAATATCTCCCGGCGCGGCTTTCCTGCCCGGAATTTCCAAATTCAGCTCTCTAGCCGCTAGCTAGGATATACTGCAAGGCGACATCAGCAATCCGCGCCAAAGAAGAGGGGACGGCGGTTCCCACAAGGCGTCAATAGGACTGAATTCGTAGGGCGCCTTTATTTTTTTAATCTTGCCACTCCGTCTTCCCTTTCGAGCGGTGCTATATCTTGGCTTGGACATACTTGACCCTTCCCAACCGCCTATATACAACAGCGCACCAGCAAAAGATGGCGCCGCAAAAGATCATCATTGACACCGACCCCGGTAGGTAACACAACACCACAGACGCCGCGGTCGTGTAGCTGCTTTCTTGTTCAATGGGCTGATAGGGGCATTTCCCAGGCGTCGACGACGTCATGGCCATGCTCTTGGCCTTGAGTGCCTCGCCGGAAGAGCTCGACGTGGCCATGTTGTCCGTCACATATGGAAACGTTCCTCTGCAGAGGTGAGACATTGGATGGCTCCTCTTCTCCTTATTATTGTTCCTGTCACTTTTTAGTTTAGAGATATGGGAGACGGCGCAAACTAACAGATGCCAAGCTGCCTTCGCAACGTCGTCGCCATGTTTCACGTCTTGGAAAAGGAGATGGAATGGAGAAAATCCACTGGTAGAGCCGAGGGATTCGAGACCATGAAGAAGAGCAGGCCCATCGTTGCTGTTGGGCCTGAACACTCCCTCGAGGACGAGTGCTTGATGGCTGATTACTTCCGTAAGTGCTGCATCAGTCCAGGGACGGAAGACCCTTGTGTGCATACTGACCCCCGGGGTTTGATGTCTTCCACCTTTGGTGGCTCTATTGGTTTAAATTTTTCTTCTCGTCTCTAAACTAACCCGGCTTGTTCATGATAGACGGTCTGGATGGCTTGCACAACGTCCACGAAGCACATCCTCACCTCTCCCCAGCCGAGACTTGGAAATCCCTCTTCCAAGCAGACGCAGCGGCGGAGGCTCACGCGCACTCCCCCTTCTTCACACCTTCCAAAGAGCCTGCCCACAAGGAGATTCTGCGAATCCTCAAAGAGAACCCCATTGACACAGTCTCCATCTGCGCCGTAGGCCCCCTGACAAATGTTGCCTTGGCAGCCGCCGAGGACCCCGAAACCTTCCTCCGCGTCAAGGAACTCGTCGTCATGGGCGGGGCCGTCAATGTCGAGGGAAACATTACGCCCGTCGCCGAGTTCAACTGCTACGCCGACACAGTCGCCGCTGCTCGCGTCTATGCGCTGACCTCGTACAACCCGGCATCTACCATGCCCCCTCTTCCCGAGAAGCTGTCTACTCTCCGCGCATATCCGGAGAAGCTCTCGCGCCAACTGAAGCTGACCCTTGCCCCTCTCGACATCACCACCCCTCACCTCATCACCAGGAACTTCTTCGCCGAACGTATTCAGTCTTATATTGACGCAGGTAGCCCCTTGGCCACTTGGACGTCGCACTTTATCCAGGGAGCCTTCAGCCAGATCGAGAGGATGGAGGGCAACGGAAGCGAGCCTGGGCTCTCCCTACACGATCCCCTCACAATATGGTACATGCTGACTCATGATGACCCCAAATGGAAGTTCCCCGCCAAGTTGGAGGACATTCGTGTCGAAACTTCAGGCCAATGGACCCGCGGCATGCATGTCGTCGACAATCGACTGCGAAGTAAGCCTGCCGAGCTGGCGGCTTTGGCATCTCTGGATCCCCGTGACGATCCCAATGTCATCACCAAGGACGAGGCTCCAGGCGACACATTCGGCTGGCTGAGCGTCCTCAAAGGCAACCGAGTGAACCGTCTCGTCGAGTCTCCCGGCGCGGATATTTTCAAGGATGTTTGGATGAAACGCGTGTTTTCGTAAATAAAAAGAAAAGAAAAAAGAAGGAGAGGAAGAAGAGAATATTATATAGAGTTTCAAGAGCTGCGTAATCCTGCAGCGAAAAGTATAATGACCTGCTGTAGCTGCTGGACTCTTTGTCCACGTTGCCGTCAAGCTCGAAAGAAGTAGCATTTTTCTTCACAAAAACAAAACGCCCCCAAATTCTTCCAGGTCGTCCCTTGTTTGACTCCAAAACGCCGCCTCATGCCGGTAGTTCCAATCATAAACACAGAATCGTCGTCCGTGTCGTGCCTCGATACCTACTCCCTGCTGCCTGTTCCCTCTAGACATGTTTGATTCCGCCAATTTCCGACCCCTTGACCTCTGTCCAGTTGATGCTTTCGTCTAGGCTCTCGTCTATCAAGCCGACGGAGCACACGTTGTCGCCCCGTACAAGATATAAGCCAAGGGGGTGGATTTCCGAGGGTTCGTGATCATCCGCTTCGTGGATGACCCGTTCTTCCGTTCCGGTCAAGACCTACCCACGCACAAGACGTTAGAGCTGCGCCGTGTCATGGCCGTAGGGAAGAGTGTAGGGGGGGAAAGTAGAGTGTCGCATACCAAATTGGTGGATTGGTCGCAGGCTGCGAGCGTGCCGACCAAGATTCGCGAATCGGCGGTCACCACAAGGACCTTTTCTGCAGGTTTGAAGCACGTCAGTAAGAGGGGTGCGGAAACAGCTGAGTGTGCAGAAGAAACACGTACTGTTCAAGTATCCTCCTAGAGTCGCCATATTTGCAGAATCCTAACTGTCGCAACGGGCAGGCGGGCGGGCAGGCAGGCCGTGAGGGCGGACGAGCGAAGAGGGTTTGGTGGTGGTGGTGGTGGGGGAATTGTATGTATGCACCTTGTTCAGCTATCGTCGGCACAGGGCAGCTTGGAGGTTGGCTCCCACAGGCACAGAGGCGCTAAGCCAAGTTGGGCTGAATTTTCGAGTCACCGCACAAAATTCTGGCACGAGGTTGAAGGCAAGGAAAAACGATGAACTCGAGACGCGCGAGACATGCTGGGACATCTTTTGCTTGGCAATATTATCGAATAGCGTTGTTTCTCTAGTCAGGAAGCACTGGATACATTATGTCGTACAGCACGGACTCAAAATACGGTAGATCAAAGGATGAAGTTGAGCAGACACTTCAATTTTTATCACAAAATAGCATCATCCATCACGACCTTTTCTCGCAAAAACCCGACTCACCAGCTCCAATGCGACTTCAACATCTACAGACAGACACATGTGTGAACAGCTCTTTCGCAAGCCCAGTTCCTAGACGCATAATATTCCCAAATTTGCAAGCAGATTTCTCCCTCGACCGTTTACGTCTGTATCCCAACAGGTTGTTTCATGCCCACCATCCGCTCTTAAAACTTCCAAAACAGTAGCAAAGTTCCTTCTTCACCCCACCGGACAAGCCAGCAAAAGCAATGAAAAAACAGAAGAGGTTCGCGTCACCTGGAGGCAGTGTAATACCAGGGACACTGTGGGCAGAAGCATGTGCAAGCACAGAGGAAACTGCCCGAGGGCCAAAAATAAGAATAATCTAGATTGGTCTCAATAGAGACCTTTCAGAGATTAAACTGAAAAGAACAGATACTACACTTGATCTAAGCCAAAAGGCAAAGAGAGCTAAAGAAGAAAGGAAAGAAAAATTCCAAAAAGCAGGCGGGCAGGCGAGAATTTTATAGCTGCTGCTGCGGGCGGTGTGATCTGGCGGGTGGCAGAAAGGCAGCCAATCAGCAGGGAGGGCCGTTGTTGCGGTGTGGCTGCCTGTTTTGTCTCCACCCCCTTCCTCCCTTTTTTTTTTCCTCAACGGTGATTGGAGTGCCTTGTGGCCTTGTGTGGGCCTATCTGGTACCAGACTGCTCGTGAAGCTACCCTGCGTGCCACATGGTTTTCAACAGTTGCTCACTTCTGATTCGCATTTTGTTCACACATGCCTCGTAAGTCGTATTGATTAATGGCCCAATACCTGGGTATCTAGGCGACTTGTTGTTTCTCGTGGATATCTGCACACGTAAACATGTTTGGTGGTTTTGCTGTGGCTACCCAAATGCCTTCAAAGGCTCCTCAATGGCGCCCACGACCATCCGTGACGCCGTCTCATGCTAGGTTCATACATACAAAAAGAGGAAGCTAGGGGCCCTGCCAATATCTCCCATGGTCAAAGCCAACAAAGTCTAGCGATTCAATTCTGTCCATAACGCCATACAGGTTCGAGGGGAAGAAAAGGACAAAAAACACTTCACCTAATCGGACACTCCAGCGAAAGCACTCTAGTCCTCCACCAACTCGCCTTCGTCTTCTGATACCCTGGCACGTTTTTCTGCTCTTCCGCAATCGACCGCTCCATCAGCTTCAGCATCTTTTCTTTTCATCGGTGACCTTGGCATGCTTCCATCCCCCCGATCAGCGCCATTCGGCCTCGGTGCAGGGCTCCTACTGGGACTGGCTCTATCCAATTCCATGGGTGTGCCATTCGAGGATAGCGTGTCAGGCTGGCTAAGCAGTGTGTCGGCGCGCCTTCGCGTGTTCTCCAAGTCGAATGCGGGTGATGGCAGCGACGGGTTCTGCTTTCTGAGCGGATTCTCCGTGTAGAACTGGCGCATCACCTCGATGGCGTTGGTACAGCGTTCCTCATCTCCATTCAAGTATCTCCACCACGGCTCGCCATTGATATCATCAATCTGTTGGTGCGTATGGACACTAGCGAAGAAAATGGCACTAATCGCCACATCCCGTGCTTCGATTAACAGAGGAATTGCCGTCAAACAGGCGTCGTTGCAGAAAGCCCAGGCAGCTTGTCGGAGATTCTTATTGTGTACAATGTCTAGCTGGCCGAGAAGTTCAAAGAGGTGCCGGTACGGATTATCAATCATGAGATCAAAGGTCAACTGCTCCAGCATGATCTCCTCGTAGGTCAGTATGCTGTCTCGCCATCTCCAGTATTCCTTACTTTGCTCGTCGATTTCAAGCTTTGCATTCTTCTGAGCCACCTTGGCAACGGCAATGATGATTTCTTTTGTCTTTCGGCAGTTTTCCTCAACCTTGTTGGCCAGGAACAGCGCTGTAGCAGCAATATTCTGTAAACCCCAAAACCGCGCGTGGTTAGAAACAAACATTGTTTTCAAAGCCATCACAGCTCGCCGCCGACACTTGGCAGATGCAGTCGACTTACGTAGTGGTGTATGCCGCCCTTCTCCTGCACCATGCTGAAGCGCATGAAAAATCTGTGAAAGAATACCCCGGCCACCCACAGGGTGATCTGGGGCAAGTCCAGCATCACGCCAGCCTGGTAGATAAAATTGACACCCTTTGACCGCCGGAGTCTTTCCTCTGATGGCGGTAATCCGTCGATAACGCTGGGTGTGCTCACAACTTCCTCTGACGTAAATGACCATTGATTCGCCACCGTGCTTTGGCTATTGTGGCCAGACTGCGCCGGCGACTGTTCGTTGGACTGCGGTTGTGCTTGAGGCCGCGGAGGAGACGTCCGCGCACTATTCTGAGGAGGCGTCGGGGCGGCAGGCGGGATTTCTCGTCGAGGCAGGGGAGATCGTGATGGCCCGTCGGCTCGAGAGCCCCCAGGGAGGGCGGGCGGCTGATAACCCTCGCGAGGCGGACGGTAGCGGTCTATGCTCGCCATATCCAGCAGATTCTATGTCGGGTGGGCAATCCAGGAGACAAGGCGACCTCGAAAAACCATGGAGAAGGGGCTACCTCGTGCTTGTGGTCGAGGTAGGCTTGCGTGGGCGCGGAGAGGGATCGACTTTTTGGTGTTTGGTGGAGGGACCAAATGCTGGTTGGAAATGCCTGACTGGATGGGATGACAGCCAACCAGTCGCTCGTCAACCGGTCTGGGCGAGTTATCTTATCGGCCAAATTAAGAACGTACCCGGTCACCTGACCCACACCACCATGCATTAACTAGGCTAAACGTCTGGTTGCCGGGCGCCACTGGCAACTCGGCGTAATGACAGAATGACAGCGTTTTGATATCGTACGGAGTATGTACGTAACAGGCCAACGGGGAGCATTCAAAACGGTAGTAACACAGCTGGGTACTTGCAATGGTTGGCATCCGGCACATCATCGTGCTACGCGATCTTAGTTCTTCAAAGACACGATATGCACTAATGATGATGGACTGACTTGTCGAGAAACAAAAGAAGGGGGAAATTTTGCCATGGAGAAGACAACTGGACCATACAAATAGGCCAAGTAAGATGATGAATACCAGGGAGACATGGAGCAAAGTGGAGGGTATCACATGCTCTATTATTTTACCTGTACCTGTAACATACATTGCGACATTCTACAACGGCTCGCTATTGTTTCGACCCCAAAGCTTGACTGTCCGGTCATGACCGCCACTCACTATCCATTTGCCGTCTCTGCTATAATCCACACTTGCAACCGGTCCCGTATGCCCACTCAAGGTTTGTATCAGCGTCCAGTCATCCGCTGAGAAGATCTTGACTTCCTTATCGAACCCACACGACAGGAAGAAAGTTCCAGACTTCTTGGGAATCTGGGCTCCCTTTTCATCCACACCAGGTGGAGTTCCGTCAAGAGGATCATCGACGCCTTTGAACCATCGCATATCTGAGACGGCACTGTTGTGGGCGCCGACGCCCCCTGTTCTTTGGACCTTACGGACATCCCAGCATTTGACCCAGCCGTCGGCGGATCCAGACAAGACCCGATGGCCGTCTGAGCCCCAGTCGAGCGCATGGATAGGCTTGATGTGGCCGTCTAAATGGCCGTCCAGAATCATGACTGTTCTTCCAGATCGCAAGTCCCAGATACGACCAATGCTATCCAGACCAGCGGTAGCCAAGAGGGATCCGTCGGTGTTGAAGCTCAGTGCGTAGACGCCTCTTGAATGGCCTTCTTGCAGCAGCACTTCGGCGGTGCTCTCAACGTCCCAGAGTCTCCATGATGTATCATCTGACGCTGAGGCGAGGTAACGACCGGATGGATGAAACTCTACACGACAGACGCGCTGTGTATGTCCTTGTAATGTCGACAAAGGGGTGTCCTGATTCAGTGACCACAGCTGCACCAGTCCCTCGGCCCCGCCAGAAGCCAGATTTACAGCGTCTGGGGAGACTGCTTGGTCTGGAAGGGTCGCCCCAGGAAACCAAGATAAACCACTGATCTTGTTGGTGTGGCCTCGTAGATTCATCTTCTCGGTCAGATTGGGAATCTCTACCAACTTGACCTGGCCGCCCCAGTTACCCACGGCCACTAGCTCTCCGTTGGGCGATATTCTGGTCATGCTTATGTATCTTTGCCCAACTGTCTGGCTGCCTTGTAGCTCAAACTCTTGCAGCTTTTCCTTGATCTGTTTCCGAAACTTGACGTGGGTTCGCAAAGGAATGGTCGCCTCCTGCTTTTGATAGGCAACCCTTTGTTTGGCTCGAGGCAGCGAGTACTCTGCAATGTACATTCTCGCTTTCAGGAGTTTCTCGCCTCCTCTGGAATAGAATTCCTCTTCCTGTTCCTCGGCCTCTTCTTCGGCCGGGGCATCTTCCATGTCAACATCGCCTTTTTCGAGACCAGCAAGTTCGGCTTGAATGGTCATCAGCTCTCGTAACCGGTCGCGACGATCGCCTGGTCCCTCCCCGAAGAATGTGATGGGCTCTCCAATCTCCCTGAGCTTTGCTCGAACGCGGCCATCATCCGTGGGCACAGCAATTGTCGCAGCAAGTCGTTTTCGATTGAACTGGTCGAGGATGGCTGACGTCTTCTCGGGAGGTGCGCCCGGCGCCATGGGCATGTCGTAGTCTGTATCATCCTTCAAATCTTCTAGCGCAATGCCCGCAGGCGAATGGGCCTCCTCGACATATGCCTGACGCGACGGGTGCATCATGATGCCTTGCTGTCGTCAAGGACGGTGCCAAGACTGTCGTTGCTGGGCGGTCGGATGGAGGCAGAATAGGCCAGCAATTTGCTATAGAAGCTTCGATGTATGATGCAGATGTTGATTGACGTTCTACCCAGGATGGGAGGTCGTGTAACGAGCTAACAGAGAGCTCTCGGCGGTTGAATCTTTTTGAAGTTTGGTTCGCTAGTGGTGGTTGCGAGCGGCTCTAAAAATTAACCACTTGCAGGGCTGCTCTGGCTGGAGGTGAGTGGGGCTTCGATGTTGGAGCATCCAGGCGCAATACTCCGTATGTACGGAGTACATACACCAAGACCGACAGCTAACATGTCCGGTACCACGAGTTGCAGCCTGACAGACACCTCCATGTGGGCCGGTGTACCAGACATGTTCCGCCGAGGGCAGCTTTTTTGGCCATTAGCTGTCGTGTTTGTGGTGACTCCTTTGTGTCACAAGCCATGGCTGACTGAACAATGGCTTTGTCGACTCAAGGTATTTTCGGACGAGGCAGCCACTGTCGGCGAGCGATAAGGAGCACCGACTACCCTGAAGAAGCTGTGCAGTTGGGAAATGAACTCGGCAACCTTTGAAACCTGGTCGGCCGATCGCGGGCTGCCTGTAGCGTCGGCCCGTGGCCCTGCCATGTTCTCGCGACAGGGATTCTGCAATGATGGATGTCTGATACCAGACTTTTACTGGCCGCCCCACGCGCTGACGGCTACCCGATCACTTGCAGCCACGGACATGAACAGCAGCAGTACGGGGTGCGCCGTAACCTGCTCCCTAATTAGTAGTCCATTTTAGCGGGGAATCATTTTTTGGGCAAAAAAAAAAAAAAAAAAAATCTTAATTTTATCGACTCGGGGTTCCTAGGGCTTTTTTTTTCTTATGCCGCTGGCCTTATTCAAGCTGCTCCTACTAGTGGAGGGTCAGTACTCGCCCATGTCCACCCGTGTCTGGTCTGTGTCATGTCCGTCCGCCCTTGTGCGGCGGGCGCACTGCCCTATGAATTTCTGTACTACACTAAGTGGTAATTGATGCTTATGCACCAGTCTTCTAATAAACACGCTGGCGTCTCTCAGCCGGCTCCTCGCTTTTTTTGCTTCCCTTCCCCCTTAGCCCTGTACACCATCTGGTGAACATCACGACCACACAGAACCCGCCGTACAAACCCGCCCTGCAAGCCGTTGTCCAATGCATATACAAAAGCCTTCCCATATGCGAACCTCATTCTTCAAGTACCAGATGCGCTTTGTGAGCCACTACGAGATCGACCTTCCATTCATCACGGAGAAGCGCGCGGATCCGGAGCGACGCCGGGGCACGACCTGAGCGAGCTCATCAACCTGACCGGCATCGTACCATCCAATACCATACGGCCCCTAGACGACTCTTCTACGAAGCCCTCCCGCTTTTTCAGGTACCATCATGATAAGCCCGGCCAATCCAGCCCGCACCGTCGTGCGTGGCTTTACGGGCACTCCCGTTACCTCTGGAGACGAAGATTCCGACTATGGTGCCTCAGAGACCCCAACCCTGGCTTCTCGAAGAGATCGAACCCGGATCGACGACTTTGTCAGCGCCAACTGCAGCCCAGTCTTGAAGGCGGTGCCGTCTCCAACCGTGTCTGGTATTGCGAAACTGCGAATGCAAATGGACCACTTCAGTCTCGACACGTCTTCGCGCTCAAGCTCTGTAGCCCGAAACGGTGGCCGTCCCGAAGTTCGATCTGGAATCACCACAGAGCTCAACAGTCGCGCCCAAAGCCGGGAGGGAGCACGCAGTGAAGCGGGCAGCGATAGTTCAGAGTGTGGATCGACCAGCTACGAGGTTACCCTGGAGAGTGATTTTGTCAGCGAGAGTGTCCGGGAGCGATCTGGCTTCGTTGAAGGCGGCTTAAACCCAAAGCGTAAGATGACTTCGGAGGAATTCGAGCCCCTCCGTTGCTTGGGTAAAGGAACCTATGGTACTGTCCTCCTCGTTAAACAGCGTGCAACCGGGAGGCTTTATGCGCAGAAACAGCTCAAGAAGGCATCGCTAGTCGTGCACAGGAAGCTCATTGAGCAGACCAAGACGGAGCGCCAAGTACTCGAATCCGTGAACCGACACCCGTTTGTCGTGAAGCTCTACTACGCCTTCCAGGACCTCGAGAAACTCTATCTCATTCTGGAGTACGGACAGGGTGGAGAGCTGTTTACTCACCTCAACACGGAAAAGATGTTTTCCGAGACGGTGGCTGCTTTCTACATGGCAGAAATGTTGCTCGCCATCTCTCACCTCCACAACAACCTCGGAGTTGTGTATCGTGACCTCAAGCCGGAGAACTGCCTCTTGGACGCCGACGGTCATTTGCTCCTCACAGATTTTGGTCTGTCCAAAGTGGCCGTGGAGAAATCCGAGGACAGCTGCAACTCGATTCTCGGGACGGTTGAGTACATGGCGCCCGAAGTCATTCTTGGCAAGCGGTACGGGAAAGCCGTAGACTGGTGGTCCTTTGGTGCGCTGGGCTACGATCTCATGACGGGCAACCCGCCGTTTCGAGGCCAGAACCACGCCAAGATCCAGGACAACATTGTCAAGCAAAAGCTCGTCATGCCGTACTTTCTTAGTCCCGATGCAAAGGATCTGCTCACGCGGCTTCTGCGAAAGGACCCCCACAAGAGACTGGGATACTGCATGCCCAAAGATTTGCTGACTCTCAAGAAGCACCGGTTTTTTCGCAAGATTGACTGGAAGAAGCTCGAGGCTCGGGAACTGGAACCACCCATCCAGCCCATGATTACAGACCCAGAGCTTGCTGAGAACTTTGCTCCTGAATTTACAGACTTGGCCCTCAGCCCGTTGGTGACGTCTAAAGACGCGTGGCCGATGAGCGGATCGACTAAGGATGATGTGTTTGGGGGCTTTAGCTTTGTGGCATCATCGAGCCTACTTGAGAGCGGCATGTTCTCAGTGGCCAATGGTGTGTAAAGTATTGGCTTGTGTTGGGGACCCAAAATCTCAGAACGGGTGCTGCGAGCAACAGGTTTCTTTCGGAGCAGAGTTGGCCGGGTGGTCCAATTTCGCATGTGCTTGTGGCAGTGACGAGCGTATGGGCCAATTTTGTCTTTTGCCTTGGGATTGTGCCCTGTTTTCCATTATCCGTGGACATTCGTGGGGCGGGGTTGCTTGCGTGTCGCGTTTGTATGTCTTTTGCTCGGCGTGGTTATGATATACACGCCTGCAATGGTTTTGAATCGATGCATTCATTCAACTTGGAACTTTTAGAGTAGACGTCACCTACAAAGATGGGGGTGGATTGACAAATGAGCAGCTTAGACAGAGGCGATCAGGGTGTTTTATCGTCGGGAGATGATGTTTGATACATGGCTAGCGAATGTCAAGTTTTCATGTTACAACTTTGTAGTGTTTAGTTTTTCTCTTTATTCCTTTCTCGTGCTCTATCTTTGTTTGCGATCGACCGGTGGGGGGAACTAACTTGCCAATTGCGCCGTCACATGCGACACGAAGATGGGACGCATCATCATACTACTACTATATACGTGAAGCCATGCCACGGGCAGTGTCTCTTATCTTGTGTCATAGATGGAGGGCCCTGCTTTTGGCCAACGGTCCCCTGCCAATTGACGCGTCTTGACACACGGCAAAGTGTGGTTTCATCTAGTGCCGGCGTGAAACAGGTAGGAAAAGGCTAATCGAGCCATCAGCCATTGCGAATCTATCTAACTGCTAGGGATATCTTGATTGAGCCTGCTTCGCGCTCCCTCCCACGGATGCGCTTGGGCGCCTTGCGGGAGGCAGGCCAGATGGATGGGTTTTGTACTCGGAGGGTCGATGTTTTCCTGGCCGAGCTGGGCGCAACCTCCAATTGATTGCATTGACGGGATGAGCCCTGGGACGAAGCCCGCCCCGACATTCCGCAAGACTGTTCAAGTTTGACCGCCAAGACGACGAAGGGTGAGTGGCGGCGTTTGGGGGCATCATCCGCCGGGAGGCCGCCGTTGCTGCGCTGTCCGCGGAGCCAGCGATTCACAGAGGGCATTGCGTGTGCATCGACGCCGGTGCCGATTCGAAAGCCGGCGCAGATATCGATTGATTGAGGCTTATTAGTCGGGATGATCTTGGCCTGGGGAAGGGAGGGGCGCAGAGCGACGTATGAGAAACACACCCGACGTGGTTGGGTCATTGCAACGTCTGCCGAGTTGCCAAGATGCTTCCGATCTTGGCGTATTTTAATTTTATTTTGGCTCGTGTGCCCTGGAGGCGTGTCGCGCTTGGTGAGCTGCGGTAACTTTGTTCTTGGCCCGTTGACATTGCGGACTCGACGGGTTGTAAATCTTGGTAACTATATCGTATTCCTTGGAGCATCTGGCATTGTAGCCACGCCCCAAATACGTCTAAAACAGGCAAAAGACATCCCTATTCGGTACTGATCGCGCAGTTCACAGTTCACTCTACGCCGTCGAGTTGTTGCGTGTGTAGCCAACTCACGGGAGCGTGGTGACTGTTTACTGCGCAGGAAGAGTGACGATTCCCGAAGCAGTTGGCGCTTCAAGTCAAAAGCTGCCGTTGGAGGACTTTTGCTTGGCAATGGGTACTCGTCCGACGATCAATAGTCTTTGGCAATGCCCTCGGCGCACGCTCCAGCCCAGCCATCGAAATCGTCACCAATCTTCCCATCGCTGTGCTTCATGCGTGCCGTGACTGTTGTATCCAGCGCCTCGGTGGCCGCGCACTGCCTGCCGAGACACAGATGCCGCAGCATAGCCCTCGGCCTAGATCTGTGCAACAAGTCTGGGGCCTTTGGCAAGGAAAAAAGAGGGTAGATTGAAACCTGTCCGAACATGTCTTCTCTTCAGGCTGGCCGTCCTCGTCATGGCCTTGACCCTGCTGAAAATACATCTCGGCGTCGACCTGACGTGCCCCTCTCAAACATCTTCATCTATCCCGGCTGCTTGGCAAGCCCTGTGTGAAATATCGCTGGCCTCTTTGGCTGCCGCTCCTGGGTCCGGGGTCGTGTGAGGGGGAGTTTTGAAACCACGCCATGGAGCAGGCATCATCCAACATAGTACTAGCCAGAACCCCTTGGCTCGTTACGTGTGGCGCCTCCATTTACTGGACTTTCATTCTGTTCGTCATCATGCAGTCTGTGGATATATTAGCTCTGTCTTGCCGTCCTCGCCGTGAGGTTGAGGTGCTTCAAATACATGGCGAAACGTCTGTTTGACTCTTCACAGGCTGGCCCTGACTCGACGAGTTCGTCGACATCGAATGCCATTTGATCCCTCTTTTTACCTATCCAGTGGCTTTCATCGTCTGATTCGACTCTAGAAATCGTCTACTCATTTACACATTATCCAAGGAGCCCAACATGAAACTTTCAATGAAAGCAGTTGTTGCTGCCACCATTGCAGCGTGTAAGTGCTCTCTGCTCCCTCCAGCAGCCGACAGAATTCACGCTCTAGCCATGGGAATACTGACAAGAAAATACGTTCCCGCCAACAGATGCGTCAATCACAGAGGCTGCCCTAGCGGCCACCTGTCCAGGCGACGGGGAGCTGTGTTTCCAATGGGGTATACCCGCCGGCAGCAGCAGGACAAGTCCAGGCAATCTCTACTTCCAGCTTCGAGGCCCTTCCTCATTATCATGGTTTGCCTTGGGTACAGGGTCCGCCATGATGGGATCGAGCATGTTCGTCGTCTATTCCAATGGAAGCGGCGTGACCCTCAGCACTAGACCAGGCAAAGGACACGTCATGCCCGAGTACCAAGCTCGTTCAGACGTTGAACTGCTTCCTGGATCGGGGGTCGTCAATGGAAACCTTGTTGCCAATGTACTGTGCAAAAATTGTTCCGATATTGCTATAACTAGTTCCTCGAGCTGGCTTTATGCCTGGAACATGGGTGCAGCCATCGACTCGTCCAGTCCCTCTGAGCCAATTTCGTTCCATGATGCCTTTTCAGGCTTCTCGGTCAACCTAGAACAAGCCACCATTGCTTCCGACTCGAACCCTTTTCTCACTCCCGCCACGAATGGCAATACCAAGCCCAATCCTAGCGGAGTTGAGACCGACGAGGGCAATGGTATGGCCATGTTATATGCGCATGGCATCGTCATGGCCGTTGCTTTCCTGATTGGGTACCCAGTTGGATCAGCCCTTATGCCTCTGCTTGGTAGATGGCTTATCCATGCTAGCTGGCAGCTGCTTGCATTTGTCGGAATGTGGGTTGGATTTGCTCTCGGCTGCGTTATCTCTTCGCGGGCCGGCTCGGTACAGCTCCCCCCCCTTTTAATTCCATCCAGGCCTTGACCCAGGTCGATTGTTGTTTCGAGGCTGCTAACATTCTGTCTCCAGCTCTTTCAGGATGCACATATGCAACTGGGTCTTGCCGTCTCCATCCTAATGACAATACAGCCAGTCCTCGGCTGGCTGCACCACACGCATTTTCTCAAACACGGGCAGCGTGGCCCCATCAGTCACGTTCACACCTGGTACGGACGTATCATAATGATCCTGGGTATTGTCAATGGAGGCATTGGCCTTCACTTCGCCGGAGCGTCTTCACGATTTGTGGTCACCTACGCCATAGTGGCGACCCTGGTCTCTGTCATGTACCTTGCCGGGATGGGTTTCGGTATTATTAAGAGGAGAAGGCAACAAACCCGACATTATCAATCATCGTCCCAAACCGAGCTTGCGAAAATGTAAAAGGTTGCAGTCTCCAGGCCGGGAAGCTTGGAGCTGAGAGCCGGGAGAGTGTGTGCAGGCGTTCGTTATAGTAAAATATCCCTTTGCAGCCTGGTTCTCAAGATGCGATATGAAATTGAAGGAGTTCCACCCGGACAACAACATGTTAGTCGGGTGAAATGGGAGAAAAGTGGCGGTCCTTCTGTTGAGAATTCTAATGTTCTATATTAGCCGACTTGCAAGATCTGCAGAGTAGTAAATACGCCGTAATAAGATTCCTTTTGCGCAACCTAAATAGCAAATCGAGCCAGTTGTGTGATATACTATCCTAGTAGACTCACTTCTAGCACGCTTTCTGTTCTCTCCCATCGGGTAAAAGTATCAAGGTTTGGTGTTGCACCTGTGGATTTCACCATGTCTCCGGTTCTGAGCATCCTCGGGTTTGGCCGTACCGCGGTCCACCTCTGCCCGTTGAGTTCGAGATCCAATTGCAAAAACAGAATCAAGGACTAAAGCCAAAAATTTTTTGCCCAAATCTTGCTCAGTTCAAAACAAGCCAATCACCAAAATATTCTTCACCAAGTCACCGGTAATGACAAGATGCCTAGTCGGTGGCAATCGGACAGACGTGTGAAGTTGAAAGCCAAGAACACCCGTGATCACGTGCTGCTAGTTTTGGACCGCCAGTGATGCAGCTCAGCCTGAGGCAGAAATTTACACTGCTGGCCGACTCAGCCGGGGGAAATCGACATCACGATTTTCACAAAAGCCTCAGACCATATCTCCCCCCCAATAGTCAGGGTTCCCGATTGAGCAACACCCAATCATTCACAATGCTCAGCCAACTGTCCAGGGCCACGGTAAGTTGATAACCACCATTTTTGCAACGCTGTCGACGCCCGCAACGCTCGAAAGCTCGAGGCGGCCTTCATTGTAGGGAGCTTGGAACTGATTCGGCCAACAGCGCGCCACCTCGGCCGTCCGCGCCGTCGCTCGAGTTACCAGAGGCAATGCTGTCCAGGCTCGAGGCTTCATTGCCCCAACCGTCTCGAGGAAAGGTGAGAAACATGTGTTTGCCCCCTTTTACCTTCTTCACCCCAGATTTCGACCGCGTTGTCACTCCGACAAATGAGGAGGTGGCACCTCTCACGGCTATACCCGTCGGCATCATCTGCTTATCCCGAATCCGCCATCCCCCCCGACAGGCACCCGACACACATGCAGCTAGAATAGCTGCATTATCTGGGTGATTGTTGATGCTTTCTGCCAAGTACACAAGCGACACGACTCAACCATCGCCCTGTCTTTCCTAGCCTCGTGAACATTTACCCACCTAACGTCCACATACACACGAACCAAGCGGGAACCTACGTGGCTAATATTGCTCTCTCTTCATAGCCGACTTCGTCCAGGATCTCTACCTGAAGGAGATCAGGGCTTACAAGACCCCCGCCGTCAAGGAGTCCGACGCTGATGGCCACGTCCAGGCATTCGCCATGCCCAAGACCCCCGCCTCCCCCGAAGAGTCGGACCTCGCCAGCAACCTGAAGGAGTACGAGAGCATGGCCGTCGAGATTGAAGGCCAGGATGCCGCCCAGACCAGCCAGAGTGGTTCCGCCGCCCTCCCCGACTGGCTCGAGGCCGAGGAGGAAGACGAGGCCGCCCACTAGATTCCATACAACACATCTTCGGAAGCTGATAATAGAACTCGACATTTTTAAAGGTGGAAGAGGAGGGTGTCTGGCATGTTCTAGTGTCCCCAGACACGACGACATGCGCGGCAGAGGAGTGTTTTCTTTTGTGTAACAAGCTGACGGCGCTGTCTCGTCTCACCGAGAGGACAGAGCCGGCCACGAAGGACAAGACGTTCAGGTGGTGGTGGGTGACGATGGAGTCGATAATCCTATTGTACATTTTCCTCTTAACAAGCCTCCATTAGGGGCGTAGGACTTGGCCGTTTTGCGAATGCGAAGAGAAGTAAGCAAAGAAATCAAACTTACCCGTGTACCATCAAACTTGGCCTACCGCTGCCGCGCCGTGAAACGTTGCCACTACACCGCTTAAATTCCATGTTTACAAAGCTTCGTCAGGGAAGCACACCTCTCTGCCGACAGGCGGACAAGCTCCGCTGCGCATACATTTTCCCCGTGTTGAAAAAGAAGGGCATTATATATTATAGCCCGGGCAGATGAATGACGAGCCGCAACCCCAACACCATGGTGTGCTATTCAACCCAAAACTCCAAGCAATCAATACCAGCGCCAGGTAGGTCGATACAAGAGTACAATTACTAGCCAGAAGGAGGGAAACACAACTCTCCCAAGTCGTCTCGACAAAAACCCCCTTTCACACCTCAACCTACATCAGGTTGCACGTATGTAGTACCAAGGATCAGCTGTCTGTAGAAACTAAGCTGCTTGATAAGCCACACAGAACCCTAGACCGGAACGAGCATGGACGGCCGTCCTTACTCGGCTCGGAAATGCTCTCTTCTATCGTACAATGGAATCGACACCAAGACGAGTCATACACGTAAAGCTTCAAGAAACGAGAGGGAACCACGACGGTTTGCCAAACGTTTTATTGTGTTTAAACTTTTGTAAATGGCTGCTCTTCATACTCGAGAGCATGACCACACAATGTATGCATTAATGCGCCTGTGCTGCCTCACAATGACCCCATGTGTCTCACAAGAGCAGCTGCCGTCTTCAGGCTTTCTTTGCCAAACCATTAACCTGCCTTCCCGACTCCCCACCATCATGCGGCACATATCGACATAAAAACACAGTTTCCCCATCTTTCTCTCTCTCTCTCTCTCTTTTTCGCATCCTGACATAGAAAATGCAGCACGTTAGACAGTGAAGAAGCCCCTTATTATTCCCATTTTTTGGACTTTACTGACTTTCAACAACGAGGCCTGGGTGCCAGTATTTACAGGCGAGAAGAGCAAAACCAGGTGCCAGCTCCAGCATCCCACCTCACAACCATAAAACGCCGAGTATCCTCCAGCTCGTTGAGGTCCCATGAGAAGATGCCGATGCAAAAAATGATATAAAAAACACATGGTGAAAGCGACTAAAAACAGCCAAAAAGAACCGAAAAAAAAAGAACAGAGAGCCGAACCCTCCCCATATGCAGTATTACCGAATAAACCCATTTCATGCTGAGGAAAAAGTCGTCGGAGAAATGGGGTGACAGCAAGATATAACGTACTGGGTAAACTAATTGCCAGCGCTGGATTTTCCGTTGTTTTTTTTTTACCCCTCTTCGCCCCGAGGATGTAAAATTCGGTTACACATCAAAGTGAGCACCACCCACCATGTGTTCGTCTGCGGTTGACGTCTTCACAATGCCGCTCATGCGATTTGCTTTACGCAGGTCAATGTCATCCAAATTATCCCAATCATCCTCATCTTGGTGTGCTTGAGCATCGTCCATATCCTCATCATCGTTTCTGAATCGATCCCTCATGTGGTCGTCCAAAGCACTCTCATCGACAAAGGTGAAGCCCTGAAAATTTGCTTGGACAGATGGAGACAGGGGTGTTGAAGCGGCGTAGCCACGGGCCAATGCAGCAGCTCGTTCGTTGAGAGAGCCGTTTTGTTCAAGGGCGGTGGTGAACTCGGGGTCAAAATAGGAGACATCGGTCTCCGACTTCAACTTCGGCTTAAAGGGGGGCGTAATGAGCTTCTTTGCAAGAATATCCCAGTCAATGTCAGCAAAGAACGGGTGGCGCTTCAGCTCTTCGGCATCATCCGTTGCGCCGAGTCGGTGCTTTGGATTTCTATTAAGCAATCCCTTGACAAAGTTCCGGCCTTCCTGCGAAAGGGTATCGCGGGGGAATCGGACCTTGCCGAAAGCAATGTTCTTGTACATTTGTTGGGTATCTTCTGCATAGAAAGGACTCCAACCGCAGCACATTTCAAAGACCAAAACACCGAGAGACCAGAAGTCTACCATCTTGGTATAACCAGATTCGTCTAAAAGAACTTCGGGGGCGAGGTACTCTGTCGTGCCGCAAAACGTATTGGTAGTGTCGTTCTTGGTCAAATTGGCCTTGGATAGACCGAAGTCGCACAAGGCGATATGACCGTTGGCGTCGAGGAGGATATTTTCCGGTTTGAGGTCACGATATACAATATCGTTGTTATGCAAATGCTGAATGGCTAAAATCAACTCGGCAATGTAGAACTTGGCCCGTCTTTCGTCAAATCGACCTTCTTTCTGCAAGTGCCAGAACAGCTCTCCTCCAGACATATAATCGGTAACCAAGTACAGTTCAGAGGGAGTTTGAAAGGAGAATTTGAGGCCGACGATGAAGGGCGAGTCCGAGGTAGCTGTCCGCACGAGAATATTGCGTTCACCAACAGTGTGGGCCACCTCTTTTTTCTGCACGATTACCTTCTTTTGCAACACCTTCATTGCATAGATTCGTTGTGTATCTCGCTTTCGTACCTGATAGACCTGTCCAAAAGTACCCTTGCCAATAAGCTTCAAGATTTCGAAATCACTGGGTCCGAAATGTTTCTTCTCAGAACTCTGATAAAAGGCTTCAACGTATATTTCGCCGGTCGGCGCATTTTCGGCGATAGTATCCGCATGTCCGCGTAATGTGAACCATCCTCTCACGGGACCCTCGCCGTCTTTCCCAGCTTGGAAATCAACATGGCCAAGAAATTCCTCTCCGGTAGCAGTGTGATCGTAAACCGAAATGTCGACCAACATGTCGGTGTCCACAACATCGCTATTTTCAACTCGTTAGCACATTGGAGAGGAGAGAAGAGTAGGCAAACCTCCAGTAGAAAGAGTTGCGCGCCAAAAAAAAAAAAAAGAGAGAGATAGAGAGAGAGAGAGAGATCACATACAAGACTGCTTCGGCGTCCCATTTAGGATTGCTCGATGGCGCACGGATAGTTCGATTGCGAAAGGTGTTGTAGTCGTGAATACTCGTATTGCTGCTCTGACGACTCCTCATGGGGATGGCCATTGGCGGGCGACCCGAGTCGCTGCCCTGGCGTTGTATAGGAATGCCACCGAGCCCGGACGGGGTAGCACTTAAAGTCTCCTCCTCTTCGATGGCCCGTGGACCACCCGAAATGAGTTCACTTCGTTGGAATACTGCGACAACGTAGGGATCGCGGCACTTTCGCAATCCACGCGCCTCGACGATTTTGATAGTCAGCTTGCCTTTTTGAGCGGGAGGTTGAACGCCGGCGGTTCGTGGGGTCTGTGTTCCGCTGGCCGTTTCTGCTCCATCATTGCTAGTTCGGCTTGGGGTGTCTCTGCCGTCTGATTGAGAAGAGTGGGCAGCAGATAAGGCTCTTGTGGGAGTCGGCGGACCACTCTTGAAGATGACACCACGCGTTAGCTCTTTGAGTCCTTCGAGCGAGAACCACTTGCTTGGGGCAGAGGTTTGGGGGAGTTTGGGGATGGTTTTGGACGGTGAGGATGACGAAGATGACGACGAGGGGGGTGTTTGTGACGTGGCAGGGGGTGATACAAGCTCCGAGCCCGCGCCCACACTGTCTTGCTGGGTTGAGACTGCAGGTGCAGGAGAGCTAATCCGTTGGCGGATTTCATGTATTGACGTTCTTCCATGGGAGGCCGTCTTGGCAGCCTCTCCGTCTTCGAAGTTTGCGCCTTTACATGAAGAGCTTTCGGAGTATGACGGCTGTGAGGAAGGAGGAGTAGGGTACGGATGCGAAGCCATGCTTGATGGTAAGACGTGGCTCGAAGCAAGACCAAGCTTTTCCAAAGGCATTGGAAGATGGCAATCTGACACGCTTCGGGCGCAGCACAACGAATTCTGGCAAAGACTCGGCTGCTGCTTCTCCGAAGAGGTAGGAGAGTGCCTCTGGGCTGGCAGATCTGGCTGGTGATCCAAGGACGAGGATGTGGAGCCGGCGTCGGAGCCGACAGGCACCAAAGGAACAGGAACGCAGGAAGCACAAGTAGAAGTGTCGGTTGCAGGAGGATCTTGACGAACCTGGCTGAAGTAGCTCATGATTCCCGGCAGACGTTTGTCGTGGAGGTCGGGTTGGGGGGTCGCTACGCCAGACCGTGGTGTGTCAGAGCCGATGTGATCCGCTCCATCTTCGTCGGCAGCGGCGGTCCTGTTGGATGATGGGTCAACAACGGGCATTGTCGATTCAGGCACTCCGGATGGACGTGCCAATTGTGGAAACAAATGACTGGGCGACAGGAAAAAAGATAAGGGAAAAGACGAGATTGCCCTGGGAGAAAGACGGGGGGAGGAAGAACGGTGAGAGAGATTTGGTGGGAACACTAGTTCATGACGGCGGCCAAGAGCCTACAAGTGGTTTTGCAGGGAGGGGCGCAAGGCCAAGTGTGAATCCCGCGATGCACAAGAGTGGCTGCGAGGAAAACACGGAACCGGAGAACCAGAGCAGGCCAGCCAGAATGGGGAACCTGGGTATAAGAAAAGGCGAGAAAAACAAAGGGATTGCTGCGGTGGTTGCGTGCAAAGGAACAACAACAAAACAACGAGGCAACTGTACGAGGAAGAAGGGGAAAAGAAAAAAAAAGTTATGCACACAAAGGGGAGGCGTGCGTGGAAGCGATTCCGACAGCGGGTGCGCAGCCAAAAAAGCCCAGGTTGCTTAATTCTGCGCCTGACGGCAAGGGCAAAAGGGATGACGAGATGAATGAATTTTTGCGCCGGAGCGACCACGCTGGAGCCCTGCTGGAGCCCTGCTGGAGTGCGCGACGGTGACAAAGTAGTGGAGATGTCGAGGCTTGATTTGAGCTGCCGCCTCAAAAGCCAAAGGGGAAAAAAAAGAGTCAGGCAACTGTAACTGTGGCTGGCCCGTCGACCACTGGCTGTGGCGCGACAGCCCAAAAAGTCTAGCTTCAATGTTCCATCAGTTGCACTCTGCAGTGTGTACTTCTGTACCCGGTACTCGGTGCTGCCAGCCCTGGTTTCGCCAGGCCGTTGACGGAGGCGCCATTGCTGTGCAGGCTTGAGCTGAGCTCTAGCGGTCACAGACTAGCAAAGGGCCGCCAACATGGGACTCGACGGTGCGTGGACATCCATGTCGGCACGCCTGAGCCTCCGATGGCGCCATGTACCCTACTAGAGCACCCGGCGGTTGTGTCATGAGCGAGTCAGACGCTTTGCAAGTCCTCCAAGATTAAAAAATTGCCTGGAACTTGCAACACTGGTGCACCACCCGGCGTTGTGGCGCCGTCTGTTCGATTGCCCGCTTTGGGCTCAGCAGTGCTTGACAATGGCCCTTGCCCACGGCCATGCCGAAGGGCCAAAGTCAGCGCGGGAGGTATTTCCGGCTTTTGGATGGAACTGCGGCATCTGCCATGTGCCAGATGAGCCGTTGCAGTGTCGGCATAGCCCGGCACCCTTATCTGAGCACAACAATGCGTCCAGGCAGCAGGATGGCCGGGTAATGCATGCATGCGTAATGTAGTATTGTATGTCCAGTGCCGTACGGAGTAGTGCGTCGTCAAGTAGTACCCGGGTGGCATGTACCAGGCAGGACACACAGCCTCTAAGTACTTAGAAGTAGTGACAAGGACGGGGTGCGGCACCGCCGGCTGCTGCTGCTGCTGCGTGAGTGAGACGCGGTACTCGGTGTCAGTGCCCGGCCGCTGATGGACCAGCTTGACATCTGAGGCGATCGATCTGGCGGGTCCCACGAGAAGAGCCCGCCCGAACAATGGTCGCGTGGCGCCGAGTAACTGAGACGGCAGGGCAGGAGCCAGGCGACGAGGACCTCGCCTTCAGGCCCGCATAGCACTTGAGAGACGTCCAGTCTGGTGCTAGTAGTACCCAAGCAAGGCGGCAGGTGCGGCTGCCGCCACTTCAGAAACACACGATGCCGCCCTGGCGAGAGACATCGGACAGGTCGATATCCCTTCCATGCGTGGCCGACAGCGCGAGGAACCCGAGTCCAAAACAGCGGTGCAAATGGACAGGATACAAACGACAAGAGAAGACATCATTTTGAAAAATTCCATCCCGAAAGGATGGCTGCTGATGTGCCGAGCTCCTGCATCCAGCGCAGGCGGCTACTTGGTTGTGATGAAGCCGCAACAACACACGACATGTCTCGGCCCGGACTCCAACAGCATGGTTGAGCCTTGAAGGATTTGGGTCTGACTTGCTCGCACCAGTTGACCTCTGGTCCTGACTGATTCCACGCCCCGGCCGAGACGTATAGGGCCCGGTGCGACACGGTGCGAAATGGAACAGAAGCGCAGCCAACCACCACTCGATAGCCGCATTTGGCTCCCAAGCCAAGCAAGAAGCGCCTGGAATCAACAGGAGGCACAGCTCCGGACTCCCGGCAAGTTTGACACGATTTGCAACGGCCTGTCAGGCTAGAAGCATCAATGATGCATCGAAGGAACCGACAGCCCGGGGCTAAAAGGGCTGGAATGAATGGAATGGCACTTGCCAGATGAGCAGTGGTGCGCAGCCTTGGTGGGCTCAATGGTGCTTATGAAGCAGGCAGCCGCGCAAAGAGTCTGATGGTTAAACTGTGGCAAATGGTGCATGCGAAAACTATAGCAAACTGCAAACTCGACAAAGAAAGCGGTGCACATACTTTGACATCATGGCCTGCGTGGCTCGCCTCAGCAGGTCGAAGCCGCCAGCAGAGCCGCCATGGCCGGCGTGGGCGTGGGCGTGAGTGTGGACATGGGCGCTCTCGCTGCCGGACATGGCTGGAGAGGTATGTATCCCAGCTGGATCAAAAGCGACGAGACCACACGGAAGCCTGCCAGGACGGACACAGAGGAGGGGGGTAGATCAGAGACTGGGCGAGTTTGTGGTGAGGCGTCACGCACGCCACGCGTTCGGGTCGGTCGCTGGAGAGGTTTCGAAGCAGTGCTGGAGCCGTATGTACGGTTCAGGAATTCGCAAGATGAAGTCGTGTGTTGTAGGTGCAGCGGAGAAGGTTGCTTTGCTCAAGTGGACGGGAAGCGTGGAAGACATGGGGAGGAGGCATGACAGGACATGGAGACCCTTTTTTGGGGAGGGGCGAGTCGAAATGGACAAGGCGAAAATGTGGAAAAAAAAAAAAGGCCTGCCAGACTATGTACAGTCCCGACTCTGGATGCACCAGACACTTCGCAGAGCAAAGCCTCGCGCTCGGGTGAGGGGAGGGGCAAAGGCATCTGGACATGGAGGGACATGGAGTCTGTCAATCGGTCACTCGAGCTTACATACTACTCGGTAGTATGGCCGTGGTGATGGATCTGACCATGGAGCTGCGGCCAAGCATCGTCTCCAATCGAGCTCCATGGCTCCATTTCCCCCATACCAGTGCCTCAGAGTGCGGGTGACTCCTCAACTCGTCAGCTTTTGTCTTGTGCAGCTCCTCCACTGGTCTTTACGTGGGGAACCGGGGGGCAATGACGATGTGACCATTTGAGAAACTGGACCGTCGACCGGGAGCCACCCTGTCTGAACTCTGAACTCTGCTGGCTTTGGCAACGCTTGTGTCGACGGTGGTTGTAGAAACCATCATCATGGCCAGCCGTCGTCTGAGTCATTCGCTCCATCAAGCATGCCGCCTCAGCAAAGCAAAGCAAAGCAAAGCCAGATATGCCAGAAAGAATGGTGTCCGGTGCTTGAAGCCACAGGCGCAGCCCAAACACCGGGCTGGAGTCTTGGACATTGAGCTTGCTCACGGCTGATGTCATGGGTACTGGTCAGCTTGGAACATTGTACATACGTACATACCGATTAAGTACGTATCCCGGTCTCACCGAGTCTTTCTGCAAAGCTTCGTCAGAGCGCGTGGTACGGAGTACAATGTTCGCAAAAACGGTCAATACTACTTAAGTATGCAGCTATATCGGGGCTCCTGGAGCCTACCTGGGTGCCCAGGCTATCGGATTCGACGGTTGCAATTCTTACAGCTCGTATAAATAGCTTGCTCCAACAGTGCACCATTTGCTTTGATTGGCCTGGCATCTGATCTCGCAAGCCACCGGGGAGGCAAACAAGATAGAATGGTGCATTTGAGTACCTGCGAACGACATGATACTGCCCAGCTTTGCTGCACATGCGGTCAGAGTTTGCATTTCAGCGCATGCATAGCATTGCACCAGGTCTTGAATACCCAAGTACTTACGGAGTACGGAGTAGTAGGGTGCTGATCCTTGGCCAGGGTCGCAGGTGTCAATCAGCCATGTCTTTCCACATGCATCCCACCCACGCTTACGAATGAGACTTGTCATCTTTACGACCAGACTTCTCCCCCCGCCAGGGCCTACGACTCACGAGAGCCTCACTTGAGACCTGCCTTGGGACCTACCGAGTACTACTACTCCGTGCAGCGCCTGCCGTTGTTGTTATCACCGCACATGCACCGCCTGGCCAACCAGGCCTGCAAGTTTTTGCCACCTCGAGCTGCTCCTCTTTCAACTGCAATTGCCCCCAGTGCCAGTCGCTGCTGGTATCCTCAATCGGAGTCAAGCCATCCATCAACCCCGCCTTTTCGCCATCGACGCTTCATCCACCCGAACCCCACTGGAGCGTTGCAAGCGTTGCAGGCGTTGCAGGCGTTACAGTTGAGGCATAACAGTCGAGTTGAGGCACTACAGGCGTTACAGCCTTACGGGCGTTCCAGGCACTGGCGTCTTGGAGCATTCGCGGCGCCCAAACTTGGAATCCATATCAATTGATGATCAACATTGAACCAGACCAGGCTCTGTCGCGCCATTTGGACCTCCTGGAAGTTCGCCAACAGAGGGGCCAGACTGGCCTGTGTGGTGATGCGCTTGTCCCCCATCATCATCCATCGATCCCACCGTCTTCCCATGGAGCTTTGGCTTATCGGTGGCGGCTGCGGCACTTCAGTCTCCCCGAGTCACGGGAGAAACTATCCGACTTCTGGCATGCAAGCGAGCAAGATGCGTGTGCTTGTTTCACGGATCATCATGTAAAATTGAGACCACTTAGGACAGCTCTCGACACTGTAGTCGATGGAGACTCGGTATTTTCACTCTCTTTCATCGATACTCCGTACCTTTCCCGCCGACAAAGGTCGTCATATGAGCTGAGTCGCCATTGTGGAGCGAGACCAGATGTGCGCAACTGAAACACATGTCATTGTGAGCGGTAGGGATATCCGTCGCTCGAGAAATCATGGGTCATCTTCTGAGAAACATTGAATCTGTCCACTTTGCCCGGCCGTGCCGTCATGGCGAGAGAGTACGGATGTACTCCGTACGGAGTGCCTTATGGCTCATCACATCCGAGGGCAGAATAAGTCCCCCTCTACTCCGTACACGTGATCAATGCCGCGTAGCTCAATGGCAGAGCAGTGATGCTATTTGCGAAGATGTTGGATTAGACTGTCTTGGGTCAATGTTAAAGATGGACCAACAGAAGCCACAATCGAGCGACAATGGAGCCGTCCTATGCTCTACATTGACTCTTTTACAGTGTAATAAATTCGCTACTAGTACTTATGATGGTGCGCAATTGTCCTATCAGATTGGTTTTTCTACATTATACGCGTATAGAAATAATAGTATATCTGGCCTTTTGATGGCATGAAATGATGTTATGGGGGTGGCATGCTGCGTTCCATTGAATTCTTATGCATGATATTTGTCTCTCTGAGATCTGATACAGTCATTACTCATATGCGTGCCTCAAACACGGGTGCCAAAGCCTATGCAAACCGCCCTGTCTTGGCTTTAGGGCATAAGACGTGTTGGAAAATGCTAGACACTTGTGATTCTTCATCTTGGGTCCAATTCTTGGGATTAATACTCCTGTAGTTGTGGCGTCTACCCATGCTAGTGGGTTCCGTAAACTCCTCTGGAATACGTTCTTGCAATGTGCTATAGTGCCAGTCATGATATGCGTGTGTACTAGGTAAGTTACCTAGTAGCTGGTACTGGTGGCTACATGGCAGTTTAACTACGAGGTTTTTGTTTGTTCATCTTGCAAGGCTGCAATCCTTTCCCCACAGCAGTTTTGTTGAGTTGGCGAGCAAGATCGTAGGTGAGTGACACAGGCGGTTGACAGCCCGGATCTGTAATCGAGCGCAGCTTTTGGAGCATGTACAAGGCTCTCTGGGCTTTTATTTGGGGGCTTTGGAAATTGTGTTTTTGCATGTGTCTCTTGGCGTTTAAATTAAATAAATGCCAATTATTGCCCGGTTTGTCTCGTCGTTGATACGTGGATTGCTGGGGGCGCGACTTTGAGAATTTCATCTGTGCAGGGTAAATTCAACTTTTGCCATGGACTAGATGTATCATGTGGGTTAAGCCCCGTCGAGCGCCTTGTCGAGTCAAGAACTTTGGCCCGATTGAGGTCTCTAGCTTACTTGCTGGCTTGTGTCTTGACTTTATAATTGTTGTTGAGCATATTTTCTATTCATCGCTGCGCGCTCGCGGCGATTGGCTATGATTTATATAAACGCTACGTCTCGAGTTTGAAGATGCTGCTAGCACAGGTTGTACAAGTGAAAGTCGGGTACCATCTCTATGATGCTGTGAAAAATAAATCAGGGACGCACTAGAGGCTTCGTGAAAGTGTTTTTGTTGTACTGGAAAAGAGGAAGAGCTTATAAACGTGCTGCCTTATTGTAAAAGTCGTTCGGTGTTTACCATACGCGGCTGTCATGAAGTTGTGTCGAGTGTAAAATATGTATCGGATACAATCGATACCCGTGGGGCTGGTAGTAGATAAGCGGAGAAAATATGGAGCGCTTACGCCCGAAGCAAAAAAAGTTTTGCGTTCCTAGGATTCCACTAGTATCACACTTCCAGTACATACTTGAGCCCTATACAATCAAGGCGGCTGTCTCTCAAGAATATTCTCTCCGCTTAGGAGCACAAGTAGCTTATATATAGATAGGTAATTTGAAGAATCAATAGAGTGCGCATAAAGCAAAAGAGAAGTACATAGTGCCTTGACTGAGAATGCCTAATGACAAAAAAAAGAGAGCATAACACCACTTGCACATTCCCCAGATTTCTCTCTATTATCCAGGGAGATGAACTGACCGAGACAGGGGTCGAACCTGCGACCTTCTGATCACACACAAAGTATCGCTCGATACTTCTTGATCGTAGTCAGACGCTCTGCCATTGAGCTACACGGCCGGCTTCTTATTGGTGGCGGGAGACACTATTATTACTTATGCGGCTTCAACAGCTGAGGGCCATCCGATATTCCGTAGTTACTCCCCCAGAGATATATTTCCGTTGGCCATGTCGTCTGATGGATGCCTGGGAATACTCGGATGGAAGTTTAGCTGTTGTGGGCGGCAGTCTTTTACAGATGCTGGCGTGATCATGCAGCGCAGTTTGATCGCGGATTCGCTGGATGTATCAATGTGAGACGGACTTCCTATTCGACTTCTGGATAAGTTTCGTTTATATGAAGATGTATGAGCGATCCATGGGGTAAGGAATACGAGAAACCAGTGAGTAAAGGTTCACCCGGAGAAGAAGCACGGTACAAAGTGTTGTATTCTTAAAAATTCTTTTGCTTTGTTTTATTTTATTTTAAACGGCATTTCGTGCCGCGAGCTGAACAACGTTGCACCGCAGCGTAGGACAGCAAAATGCCTTGCATTATACCATCTACGCATTCACTTAATCCAGGAATATCTCAGGGGCCAAGGGGCAAAGAAAATCCATGTCCAGTTTCGCTATTCGTTACAGTCTTACACTAATATCATCGCTGCACGGAGCAGGAGAGTATGCGGAGCATGCAGATGAAGCATGAACAAAATGAATCAAGGACACCATCAAACACACAACTGCGAAACTTCTCTAGCCACTTCGGTCCTTGACAGCCTTAATCCTCGCCAGCCATGTCCTCTCCATGTCCAGCGTCACCCCTTGCGGATAGAGCTGTGGATCGACACCTTGGCGGACTACCAAGGGGTCAGGATACTTTTCTATAAATGTAGTCTAGTCAGCAAGGCCAATTCCATCCGTGGGCGTGTAATAATTCCTCGACACAGGTTTATGTGACGAGCTCAACACTCATGGACTAGTACGACTGGGACTAACGTGAGCGGAATGCCTGGTCCGACAATCTAGCCATGGCCTTTTCGTATTCATCCTTTCTCCTGGAACTGTTCCCAACGGGCGTGACTGGTTCGGCAACCTCATATTGAGGCTGGGACTGGGAGGACACGGGCACGCCAGCCATGGGAATCGTGCCTGACAAGTTCGTCGAGGCTGGAAGGGGACAGTTGGTGTGACGGTTGGCGAGCTTGAGCTATGGGATCGTGTGCTGTTGGAGATGTACGGAGTACACGAAACGGAATCGCAGATGATGGATCTGGACACAGTCCCTGCGCTGCTCAAAAATGCAAGGCCTCAAGAATATCTCAAAAGGAAACCCGATCCGGCCCCCACGACGCAGAGGGCCCCTCTCACCCTCTCAAGTTGACCCCACTGCGCGGCGTCGTTTGTGGTCAAGTGTCGAGTCTTTCCGACCAGACCAGACATGACTTCCCGCGGGAACTTGGTTGCTGCACCAAAAATGGCACTGGGCCGCAAGTACCAGTCGGCCCACCACCAGACATCCTAGGGCACAAAGACTCTGGCCAGCGACGGAGTATTAGCGCGGTTTCGCTTGGCTCTACTTTTGGAACCGTGGACACCATACTCCTCTCATGCCTCCGACGACGAAGTCTGCATCCCCACCGGGCTGCTGTGCCTTTTTGCAAGCAAAGCATTCTTTGCCGTCCTCCTTGATGCTTCCGTCCTGAGGGAATTGGCGCTGCCTGGTTGTTCTGCTGGATGCACCATCGTTGCTGCTGCCAGCACCTCCCCATTCCCATCCACTCATCCACTCATCCACTCAATCGAACTGGGTGTCATACGACGAGGAAGTCGCCGCTCAAAATGAACAAGTCCGGCATCCCAGATGCCTGGGACGACGATTGGGAAGCCCAGGCGGACAGAGGGGCCGTGGAAGACGACGAGAACCACCAGCAGGGCGGTGTTTCCCTCCAGGCCGCGCAGCCCTTGACGAAAGCCGAGCGCATCACGCTGCATGAAGAGGCGAATAGAAAGATGTGGGAGTCTGCGTATGTCTGCTGTAGCAACACCCTCTCCTTCCCCAGCCTAGCCATGCCGCTTCTTCCCCTGCTCCGACTAACATTGCCATCCAGAGACGCAACTCCCCAGACATTCCACTACCTCGAAGCCAGCAACACTGTCCCCCTAACGTCCACGTTCAAGCCCCAAGTCAAGGTGCTTAGCCGCAAACCCATGATTGCCAAACGTGATGCCACAACGGGCATGTCCCAGCTCTCAATGGACGACGACGACGGCGAAAAGGACCAAAAACAGCCCCAGCCCACCGCCGAGGAGATCCGGGCCAAGCAGAAGCGTGACCTGGAGGAGAAGCAGAGGCGGTACGACGAGGCGCGGGCCAAGATTTTTGGGGAGTCGAACCCGTCAAGTAGGGGATCATCCCCGGGGACGGTGACGCCGCCCCGGGGGGAAAGTAGACATTCTGGGAGGGGTCGTGGACGAGGGGGAGGGGGAGGGCAGCGAAATAATGGTGGTACTACGAATGACGGCGGGAGACTGCCAGATATGAGGAGGGCCAACAATCAAGCCTCATCAGGTAGGGAGCTATACGACCCAAACTTCTCTCCAAAACCGGATGCGATGGCTCAGCGGCGTGGAGGAGGGGAGAGTGACGGCGGATCAGGCAGAGGCACGACATTGAGGGATGACCAGTATCAATTTCAAGCACCGCAGCCACAGCCAGCTATTCGAATGCCGAGGGGACCCGACGGAACTGGCCGAGGGGGATTTGGATTTGCACGTCGCGGTGGGAAAGAGAGCTGATGTTTGGCATACGTCTTCGAAAAAAAGAGAGTCAAAAGCATCCTGATATTTTCGATTCTCTCTTCGTTACAGAAAGAGAGGGAGACAAGGATGACTACCACCCGCCGCCAACTTTACCAGCCAACTGAACCACTTTTTCGGCTTCAGTCCCCTTTCCGACGTCGCTTATGACCTCGCGATACGTCGTGAATGCAAGTCTATCTATGCTAATGCCCGTTACCTCACACCAGTACGCCAGGGTATCATGTATATACGAGCGAGAGATGCCACCCACCACATCCTCGCTGCTCCGAACACCATCGTCATTACCATTTACTGTATCCGCACCATCCACCTCTTCACCAGAAAAATACGCCTCGTCGACTTCCGCCAGCCACTCCTTTTGTTCCTGAGGACCCGGTTTGTCCGAATATTGTTTGCTCCCCTGAGCCACCAGATCATCAGCCTTGAGCTGGCCGCCACCGTTGGTGCAACCTCCTGGACACGCCATGACCTCGACGTAGCTGTACTCGAGAGACGCCGACTTACCCGTCGGTCGTCGGGCGCTGCCAAATGGTTTGCCGCCGGGCATTCGGGACGGGCGAGCAGGTTTCAGCCTCCGGACCAAGTTTTGAATATTTCTGAATCCATAGTAGCGTGCCGCTTTGAACACAGGCTCGCCATTGGCAGCCACAGCAAACTCTACAACATCCGCATTACGACCGCGCGTCGTTTGAATTTTAGCACCAGGTATTTGTGCAGCTTTGCACTGCAAGACATGATAGAGGAGGCCGCCCGAGGAGCCTGCCATGCGTGGGACTCTTGGGGACGCTCGGGCGGGGAATAAGAAGCTGTGTAGTCGTGCGTCGGGAAACGGCACCGCAGGTTCTAGTAGAGAGCTGGTGGCGCCGCCGTTGTCGCGCGGGATATCGAAGAAATTGAGCCCTCTTGATTCAGCAAGCATGAGAACCTCCTTGCTTGTGATGACGCAATCCACGTCCCTTACGCCTCGTCCCGGAAGCCCTGATCCCGCCCACACCTCGTCCGTGAGCTCCTCCCGGCTGGCTTCGAGTTTCTTATCGAAGCACGGCATAACCGCCAGGTGCCATATCCTACTCGGCGGGATGCCCAGTTTCCTACTCAGCGTAGTCTTGAGAATCGTCCCCATCAGCGCCTGCGGGGACTTGACCCTCGACAAGTGCGGCAGGACATGAGGATGCGTCTTCTCCGCGTAGCACACCCACCCAGGACACACAGACGACAGTATCGGCTGCGCAGGCGCATTGCCCCCAGGCCTGGCCGTGCGCCCGAGAACCTCATCCGCGCCCAGGACAAGGGCCGCCTCCCTGGCGACGTTGGTATCAACAACCCACGTAAACCCGTTCCTCCACCTCCCACCGCCCGCCAACCCCCAGCGTTCGCTCCGCAGCAGCCTGTCCAGCATGCGTCCTGCCTGTGCCTCGGACACGCCCTTGCCGCAGGCGGCCGCCAGGTTCGCCCTCGTCTGCGGGCTCACGCTCGCCACGAACAGCCTGGCATGCTCATTCTCCAGCCCTTGCACCCTGAGCCCGCCTCCCTCGGCACCGTCGTCGACGATGCTCAACCCCGGGGCCGAGTCCAGCGTCGACAGGACCTCGGCGTGGCTCTGTAGGCTGACGAGCACCGCCTCCGCGGACGTGACGCACCCCGAGCACGCGAGACAGTCCGTCAGCGATATCTGCGCGGCGGAAGCAGCGTCGACGCCGCCGCCGCCGACCCGCGGCTGGTGCCCGGCGGGTGTTGCCCGTCGAGAATGACCTCGGTCTCGAGGAGCGCCCGATCCTGCTCCTGCCCCTGCGCTTGCCCTTGCGGCGGAGGAGCCGCCGGCAGCGTCTCGATGGGCTTTATGCACGCTACGCCCGGGGAAATAAAGTCGTTTAGGTCGTCGACTGAGAGAATGGCGCTCATGTTTGCGTCGGCGTCATGTGGGGAGTTGTTGAGAAGAAAAAAGGGTGGCGAGTTTGCGATTTGAGAGAGTGAATTTATTAGTATCTCCTGAAAAGAGAAGAAGAAAAAGGAAGCCTAAGAAATGGAAAAGGACAAAAAAAATGTAGACGGATTCGAGGTATCGTTTAAGAAACGAAAAATAGCTCGAGTGGCAAACGGGATTTGCTACCAACTCTGCGCATGTAATCATGTCAGTCGGTGCAGTGTCGGGCAATAAAAAGTCGGGGATTGGAAATGGACGTGCGGGCGGCGCTGAGACCCCGCCAACTAATACATGTAAGGTCTTCTCAGTGCTGGCTGTGGCGGCTTGCGACATCGGCCGGAGGACGGGATTGCTCGGCGGCTGGACCTTTTTTTTTTCCTGCCGTGGTGGTCGGCAAAATCAACCAGCCCGCTGGTTCGACTTGGTGCTGGCGACTGGATATTTCAAACCGAGGATAACTGCGGTATACGTGATGTGATGCTAGTAGCCATGTGTCTGCGTGGTTGTCACTGCGTAGAATATATTCATCCACGGCCGTGGTTCCCTATGCATGGATTCAACTCGGGCACTCGCTTTGCACTTGGCGCATTTAGGCTACGGCAAGTGCTTGAATATATCCCATTGAAAAAAGATATCAAAAAAAAGAGAAATAACGCTCGTCCAAGGCATACCAATACCAAAGTCACAAACCCCCCCAACTCCCCAACTCCTGTCCTAATTAATGCATCCTTCGACCTTCTCCGTGTCAAGCGCCCATGCCATCCCATTAAACACTAGGACGGGAAACAAATGTTGTGCCATCCCGATGCAACCTATGCCTCTGCAGCCTGGGCCTTCTTGGGGGGCACGGCCACGCCATTGCCGTTGGTTTTCTCGCTGTCCTTGGAGCCCACGACGCCAGAGACCTGAACATCGGCGGTGCCGTCGAGTATGGCCTTGCGTCGGTCGTGCCAGTCAACCTCGCTCTTGATGACCTGTGACAGCAGCACTTCCTTCTCCAGCCACTCCTTGTAGTATACCTTTTCCCACTCCTTGCATTCCTTCCTGAGCGCCTCGCCGACCTCGTCGGCCCATTTCGACTCCCAGTAGCATTTGCGATACAGCTTGTCCACCGAGAAGGAGAGCTCCTCTGACGAAAACAGGTCGCTGGGCAGGGCGGTAAAGAAGTCCGAGTTGGCAGAGTCCCCGTTTACGGCGTCGCCTGTTTCATCATCGCCCGTACCCCCGTGTGACTGCGGCGTTTTGATGATGATTTTGAGCTTGTTTGACTTGCCAGCAGTGCCGGATTGCATAGACTTTGGCACCGGATCTGAAGGCCGCAGGGCCTCGGTTTCGTGGACGGTTCGCATGTGCTTTGCCAGGGCGTCGGACCTGGTGAAGGAGCGGTCGCATTCTAGGACCACAATGTTAGCCATTGAACCTCTCCAAATGTGGGAGCAGCGTGTATTCTGTCCTACCAGGCAAGTAGCAATAGAAGGGCTTTTCCCGGGTGTGGCTGCGCATGTGCGCCTTAAGGGCATACCCGCTGGCATGGGGAAGGCCCTTCCTGCTGCACGTCTTCCATTCGCACGTGTACTTCTTCTGGCGATTCTCAATGTGCGAGTTGTGGATGTGCTCGACCAACTTGTCCATGTCGCCTTGGTCGCCGGCGGGGCAGCCATCCCAGTCGCAGACAGTCACCTGGTCCTGGAAGTCGTCTTCCTCGAGTCGTGCATTCACGGGTGAGCTGGGGATATCGCCTGAAGTGTCCGAGGATACATCCGACATGCCCTCGAGGGTATCCGGAACCGGCACGGCGTCGTGTTCGACTTCTGGCACAACGGCAGACGACGTGGTGGATTGCGCGTCGACTCTTTGTCGCTTGGACGGGCGGAGGGAGGCCTCGTCTTCTTCATGGCCATCCTCCTCATAGGCCTCGGAACCGGACCCCATTGATGAAAGAGGCGAGTCGGGGGGCGAGTATCGTCGTGCCATGGCCTGCGCGTCGCGAATGGACCTCGCGACAGCTCAGGACAAGGTGTAACGAGGGATTCGAGGGTGTTTGACGAGGGTGGATTGCAGTGGACGTCGTCGGTGGGAGCCGCGCAGTTGTTGGGGTGACTGCGAAGGATTGAGATAATTGAGAGATGTGGCCACGAGGCTGATGGGATGGGAAGCGACCAGACGAAGCTCGTCGTAGCCGAAAATTGGCTGCCAAGGGGAACAAGGCGACACACGGTGTGGATGCGCATGCACGAGCTTTTTGTCCTCCGTGGCCGTCTGGCGGCCCTGGCGGCCCTGGCGGCAGATGGAGCATACAGTGTGAAACCCGTCAGAGACTCGCTCTTCGCACTCGAGCTAACCAATGCAAGTCGGCCAAGAATCCAACTCCCAAGCCGATCACAAACATGTCAAACATCCGTTCAGTTTGCGAAGCATCCGTCGGGTCTCTCATGGAAGGACTGGTAAAACTGATCCGAGAAAATTCGTCGTTGTAGACCGTTTCACAAAAACCACTTGGTTGTGCTAGAGCATAGGTAACGCTTGTTTGCGTTGCACGGCTGATGGTAGGTTTACTCTTAGACTCTGGTTCGAGGCTCGATAAATGAACATGTGAAATCGTGTAAACGAGAAAATTACAGTGATAACCATGTACCTACACCAAGTTGGGGAGAGCCGGCAAAAGCCTGCAGTGTTCCGCCTCTTCAAGCGGCAGTACGTGTTGTAATGTAAGTAAATGACTGTATACGCACCAAGTCTTTTGCCCGCCATATATCGAAACGCCTCTCTACGAGACCCTCGAACATAATTATCCCAAAGGGCTCGAGATGCTTCCCATATTGAATCCTATCGGACGAATGCTACCTTTTCGAGACAACAAGGTTTCCGAAACTCTTTGCTGATGTCACAGTCTCACTCTGTATTTGGGGATAGGTTTCCCAAAAATCGCCTCCAATCCGAAATGGTCTCAAACGAGAATGGCAACAAAGGTTTAAGAATGGTTTCCATGTCCATTGTGTTATCGGCATTGCCGCCTTATAATTGGACGAACAGCTAGACTCTCGCCGACCTGTACGAGGTCAGCATACCGACATATCAGGTTGATAGGAACTGATAGGAATAGCTACAGTTAAGATGACGTATAAATCAATTCCTTTATCCCACTCGAAAAATCCAAATTTGGAGGGCAACGGAAACCAAATCACTTCTTCCTTCTTCCAAAACACCATGATCACCATCTTCGTACTTGTCGCCCTGACGGGCCTCACGTTTGCTAACCCGCTTGATTTGCAACCCCGAGAAGACGCCAAAGAAGATAACTTTGATCTTTGCAGACTCTTGGGATGTCATCGGCCGCGCACTGTCACCAGAACACTGGTATATACCATCACGTCTACGGCTACATCTTCAGCCACAGCCACCGCAACAGCAACTATAACCACCACTCTGGACTGCTCGCCATCTGCATCCACCACCCTCAGGACTACGGCTACGACATCTGACTTTACTTCTACCGGAACCTCAGCTACTACAGCGACTTCATCCGATACCACGGCTTCGATTGATACCACCTCTACCGACACGGCAGCCCCGACTGATATCACCACGTCGGCTGATATCACTACGTCGACTGATATCACTACGTCTACTGACATCACTACGTCGACTGAGACCACTTCGGCCGACACCACAGCCGCTCCCACAACTCTGACTGATGCTTCAACTGATGTCAGTGGCTCAACTGGTGCCACCACCTCGACTGGCGTGACCATCTCGACCAACACTACTTTAACTGGTGTCACGGCCTCGAGCGACATCACCATCCCAACTTACACGGCTTCAACAACTGATTTCACCACTTCAGCTGACACAACTACTTCGACTGAAGCCGCAACTTCAGGCACCACCACAGCAGAAGCCACAGACACCACAACAGCAGCCGCCAGCACATCCTCATCATCATCATCATCATCATCGACCACGGGCCTCCAATCCCCTCTATCCACACTAGTCCCCTTCAACTGCTCCGCAGACGCCTTCTTCATCCAGGACCGCCTCCTCCTCAGCGTCAACCTCCAGACGGGCGAGAGAAAAACCCTGTCCTCCAGCGTCGGCGGCTCCTCCGCCCGAGTCAGCGCCATAGGCTTCAACCCCCTCGACAACTTCATCTACGGGCTCCAGAACAAGACGGTCGTCCGGGTCGGGCACGACGGCGCCCTGCAGCGCGTGGCCGAGGGCGACATGGCCGCCAACGCAGGCGACGTCGACAGCAACGGCCAGCTCTACTACACCGCGGGCGGCAGGGCCTGGGCCCGGGTCGACCTGAAGCCCGGGTCCGCGCGGTACGGGCAGGTCGTGGCCAGGGGCACGTCCGACTCGAGCGCCCTGCCGGGGAACCTGGCCGCCGGGGACTGGGCCTTCACGCCCGCCGCGCCGGGGTACCTGCACAGCGTGGCCGTGGGCGACCTCGGCCTCGTCTACCTGGTGAGGTGGGATCTGGCCTCGCACCGGTGGGAGGTGAGGCACAAGGACTTGCCGAGCTTCGGCATCCAGGGCGGCGTGTTTGGCGCCGTCGTCGCCACGAGCGACGGCGTCCTGTACGCCTCGCATAACCTGAGCGGGGTCGTCTTGAGGATCCCGCTCGACGACCCTGAGGGCACGAGGAAGGTCAAGGTGCGGGTGCCCAGGGCGGCTTTCAGCGACGGCTGTAGGTGTGCTTCGAGGCCGGATGTCGCGGTTTGATTGGGATGGGATGGGGCTGTGATTGGAGAGAGAGAGAGAGAGAGAGAACGGGACAATTTTGATGGAGACTGCGAGTTTTCTTGGGCAAAGGCTTTCCAGATATGTCATGATTGAGACTTTCATCTAATCCTCGTTAAGTTTTGCATATTTAAAACTAAAATCCACCGCTTCCAACTCCAAGCCTCTTCCATGTGCGTCAACAAATCCTTCGTCCAATGAAAAAAACAAAAACAAGAGAGATGTGTTTTGGTCAGAGGGGAAAGAACAAGATGTATTTTCTTGCTGTAAGGCGCTTTTTGGGGAAAGATTAAAAAAACACACGACATGAAACTTTTTCGCTTGCTTTGGGGTATCTAAGCGTGTCCGTTGGTCCCAAGAACCTGGCGCCTTTGCTTAACAGCGTCGGCGAGCACGTCGAGGACAGACTCGGTATCTTGCCAGTTGATGCAGGCGTCGGTGATGCTGACGCCGTACTTGAGGGCCGACTTGCCCTCGGCGGGGACTTTTTGGTTGCCTTTTTGTCAACATGTTAGTGCCATGCTCCCTTTTTTGTTTCTTCCTTCTATTGCAAACGAAGAGACACAACCAAAAAATAAAATAATCACCAAGCAGAGACGTACCCTCGTTGTGATTACTCTCAATCATGACACCCATGATACCAGTCTCCCCCTTGGAGATTTGCTCAGCAATATTGGCAGCAACCTTGGGCTGGTTCCTATGATCCTTGAGCGAGTTGCCATGGCTGCAGTCAACCATGAGTCTCGGAGAAACGCCCTTCTTCTCCAGGGCAGCTTTGGCCTCGGCAATGCTAGCAGCGTCGTAGTTGGTCCCCCGAGTGCCGCCTCGCAGGATAACAAAGCAGTCCTCGTTTCCAGTGGTGCCGACAATGGCAACAACACCGGGCTTGGTGACGGACAGGAAGTGGTGAGGGTGCCTGACGGCGCCAATGGCGTCAATAGCAACGCCCAGCGAGCCGTCGGTGCCGTTCTTGAATCCCACGGGGAAGCTCAGGCCGCTGGCCAGCTCGCGATGAAGCTGGCTCTCGGTGGTCCGGGCGCCAATAGCACCAACAGAGAGCAAGTCGGCCAGGAACTGGGGGGAGATGGTATCCAGCATCTCACTGGCAATGGGCATGCCCTTGGCGGTCAGGTCGACGAAGAGCTGGCGGGCCAGGCGCAAGCCCTTGTTGATCTTGAAGCTGCCGTCGATGTCGGGGTCGTTGATGAGGCCCTTCCAGCCAACAGTGGTGCGGGGCTTCTCGAGGTACGAGCGCATGACGATGAGGAGCTCGTCCTTGTGCTTCTCGCGAGCCTGCAGCAGGAGGTCGCAGTAGGCGAGGGCGGCTTCGGGGTCGTGGATGGAGCAGGGGCCGACGACGACGAGCAGACGTTTTCGCTCGTCCGTGTCGTTTACCACGGCGGCGACTTCATCTCTTGATTCGATAACGGTCCTTTTGGAAGCCGTGGTCTGGGGGATTTCGTGCTGCAGCAGGTCGGGCGGCGTGAGAGGGTTGTAGCCTCGAACTGGCGGACAGAGTCAGTCAGTCAGCAACAGGGCAAAAGAACAAGGGACTAGGAGCGCGTACTTCTCCAATCTTCAGAGTCGGCCTTGTTGCCAACATTTTTGTTTTCAATGTAGAACTGCTGGACACATGTCATTCATGAGTCACCCCGCCATATGTACAACAAGAAGGTGCCAAGGAGGGGCAGCGCAAGCGTCAACTTACCGACATTGTGGAACAACACAAGGGATGTATAGAGGAAGCGAAAGAACTGAGGGTTTGAAGAGAGAGTACAATTGGGCCAGCCGAACTGTATAAATCGACCGAAGAAACTGCGTTGTGCGATGGCAAGAGAGGTGTGATGTGCAGATGTAGACCTGCGAGAAATGGCGTGTCCCAAAATAAAAAAAAATAAATTTTGGGCCGCCGTCACACTCACAAGCACCCAAAGGATGGCCGGCGTCGGCGACAGCTCGAGGCCAAGATGAGTCGCACAGAGGCTCCCAGATCCATGCAACGGGCCAGGTGGCCCATTCAGCGATGCGACTAGGAGATGCACCGAGTCAAATGAACTACATACGATTGACACATGCATGCTTACATGCAAGTGAGCGCCTTTGACCCATCATTGATCACGGCATCCCATGCTTACTTGCTCCGATGTCCGTCATGAGATGAGAGGCACCGAGTACGGAGTACATACATGCACATACAGTTCAGTCTGGTGCAGTACTTAAGTAGTTAAGTACTTAAGTAAGCTGTGCATAAGGTGATATTGGTGGCTCCAGAGGCGACGGGTGGTCAATTGCCTCGCTGCTATTGGCCCGAGTGGCCCAAGTACATGTACTTGTTGCTTCTCTCCTCTCGGCGCCGCAACACGGAGCCCAAGCCTAAACATGCATACATTGAGGTATGTGCTGGTTTTGACAACAATCTTAACATCTTACTTAATCCAACGACATCCACCAAAACTTGCGTCATTGCAACCCTTGCTGGTCCACCTGGCGGCCCGTCATCTCGAACCAGTCAGTGCACATGTGCGAGTTCGCTCTCAACTCGTCGTGTGTTTTGACCGCCAGTAAGCTGGGGGAGTGTGGCCAAAAAATTGACGTGTCTGGACCATTCACGCCCTTGGATGACATGGCAAGATCCGTCAGCCGAGATCGATCTCTCAGGAGACAGATGACCTGGCAGGGGGACGAAGTGGTGCCTCCGTCATCTGTTGTGTCAAACTTAAACAGCCATCATGTGAGAACAACGAGCCCAATCACACAACAAACTCATCCCATACATGCCCTCGCCGTATTCATGCAGGGTTCCAGCGTGACGAGAAAGATGGTCCATAGAATAAGGATCAACAAAAAAAAAAGAGGGAACGAGAAGCGGAGAAACCATGTACAGTTGTGCCATGTGCGTTGCGCTACAGAGTGTCCATTCTAGTTCGTATTCTATCGTGCCAAGCATGCATATACAATGTAAAACGACTTCATGCGACAAATTCGTTGCAAATGAGCTCTTCCCACGCCTTGCCGGTCGTCCAGACTTGCTGAAGCAAGAGTCGAGTAGAGTGTACCTACAGCGCCACCCCCTCTTGGTCAATAACGTCTTCGACTCCCCGGAACAAAACCCCAAAGAATATCTCACGTACCTGTTTCATGCCGCTCTTCTCCGCATTGGTTAACCGGCCCAGGAGTTTCGTCTGCTGACGCTCCGTGAGGGCCTCGCAGCCTGCCGTGAATATCGGGAATAGATAGCGCGTCTTGGCCACCCCTCGAGTTCCAATCTGCTCGAGACACTGCATAATCCTCCGCACACTTCCTTGTACGTCCGGGTGGTCCGTTGCCTTTCCGAGGACTCTGCGGTGCAAATGTATCATACCAGCCCAGTGGAAGGCCTCGTTCACACCGGCCATTTCCGCCAAGTCCCTCATGTGAATACTGCCGGCCCTCACATGCGGACAAGGTCTTGAAGATTGCCTCAGACTCTCCATCAGGTGCTTTTCCAGCAACAGTGCTTGTTCCACCATGGTCGGCTGAGGACACCAGCCCTGCAACAGTTGGCCGTCCAGTCTGAATCGTTCGCCTTGACATTGCTTGGCCAACTCTGCCACTTGACCAAGCAAGCGCGCGCATTTCACCGATATCCCCATCATGCAATCAATCTCGTCCAAGTCATTGGCACATCTACGAGTCTCAGACGGTGGGAAGTAGACCTGTGACTTACAAGTCATATCCAAAAGCGGCCCTGCCATAAGACCGCCCATGACGTCTATGTAACCCAACCAACTCTGGATAAACCACATCCCCTCCACCATCGTGTCTTGGGGGCCGTGGTCCAGACATTTGGCAAGGAGACCTCTCGCATGGGCAACATGCTCGCGCCACGAAACGCCCCGGCCGAATGCACCGGGAGACATGATTTCCAGGGCAATGAGCATGACCGCCATGGCCAGTGTGACATTGGGCATCGAAGAAGATGCACCGAGCAACGACTCTCTAAGAGCCGGAAAAACAGACTGAGCCCACTCTGCCATTCGCATTTGAGGCAAGCCCGTTTCCAAGAGTTGCGACCGATGCGCAGCTTCACTAAATCAGTCTATGTACCTGTGCGTGTGGGGGGTTGAGACGAGAAGATAAGGAAGTCATACCAGAATATGCAAGGATAAGACTCATCAAAGGCTCACTTTTGAGAGCCATAACCACAAGTTGTGTCCGCAAAGGGTTTGTATTGTCATCATGGTATGGTACCAAGACTACTCCGTACATCAGCCGCATTAGGAGGGTAACACAATGGACGGCATAAAATACATCATACCGTGGGAGGTGTGGTTCAGAAAGTGGTGCTATTGGCATGCATGGTTAGTGTTGCACGACATAATGCAAGGGCCTGGCCATCTTACAAAGTACTGCAATGTCCAAAAAATGTTAGTTGGTGACTTATCCATTGGGAGGGGAGGGCTTGATATGATATCTCCTCCAAGTACGCACCAGCAGGTTCATCTTGTTTCGTTTCAACCTGTTTATGCAACTCGATTAATATTTCCTTTTCCAGGGTAGCATCTGAGGGGAGAGTGAGATTGTGACATTGCCTTACATGTCTGGCAATGGCTCGAGAGCCCATGGTATCACTACTGGAACCACGTTCTTATAGTAGTATTGATTTAGGCCACTCATCCTGTCTCGAATTTGCCAAGGCATGGCCTCTTCTCCAAAGTCTACGACTCCGCTTGCGGAATTGTACGCTGTGGAGGGAAGCAGGACTACGGTAATGGCATCGTCATTCTTCAGCAGGTCTTCATCTGCCGCCCCTGAATCATAACCATAAAATGCACCATTTCCGCAAGGATATACATCTGAGTTGCTTAGAGTCTCCTGAAGACCATACGCTCCTGGCTCCTCCGATAGATGCCCAGACTGTGGTGGTGAATTTTCAGAGAAACCCTTACCAGACCCCCAGGAATCAGGAGACCCAAGAGAGGGAAATTCAGTCCAGTTTGAGCGACTTGTAATGTCATCACTGTATGATGAAAGTGTAGGAGTAAGCGGACTGTCAAGTACATTGGGGTACGAGGGCCACGTCGCCGACGTGCTTTTCTGTGTATAGCTCGGACAAGGCATTAATTGCGACTTCCCGATGTCTAGTTCTGTAAACTCGGTAAAAGACTTGGTTTTCTTGTGTCCTGCAGCGCCGACTGCAGGTGAATTTATCAGCGAGCCTCTGTAAGGAGAGCTTACCGACGTAGCCCCTTGCGAGTGTCCGAGGTGCCGCTTTGCAATATAGCCCTCCGAAGGCCCAGCACCACCACTCAAGTGTTGTTGGGACTCATCAATAAAGATGAGAGTGTTATTAAATGAGTTTTCTTGCTTTCCAGCATCATTGGTTGTTGTCATGTTTTTGAACACCGATGTCGGGACAAGGGGTTGCTGAATTCTGCCCTCCTTGTAAGAGTCTGCGCCATCCAGTTCCTGGCCAGAGATCATGAAATGATCTGGAAGTTCGGGATTCTCGGCCGACAACTCATGGGACATTTGGTCCAGCTTGCCCTCTGGCCAGGGGTTGCCGCAGCTGTTTTCTCCAACGAATTGGCTTTTGGTGTGCCGGCCGGACCAGTTCAGCCGGACGCTGTAATCGCAGACATCGCCAACTTTGAGACAGCTTTTCGATTAAAAAGCAAAACAGAACAGTCAGCCTTGGTGTAGCACCAGATGCGTCCACCTGGGAGTTCCAGGGCCTCTCGAGGCAGGACAGTTGGATCTCGGCAGACTTGGAAAATTTGCGTTCCTGTTTCAACACTTACTTCTTGCAATAGGGGTGCTCCTCGCCGCATTTGATTTTTTTTCCCTTGCAAGGCCTGGGAAAGGTTGAGTCAGTCATTGTGTATACCTTGTGTATATCAACGGTACGTGTGATACTGACCAACAGCCTTTGCGGCTCCTTCGCTTGGGCTCGCGAGCTCCTGGTTTTTTTTGGCGCGGCATGACTTGACGTACGTTTCATGCCTAGATGGGTGTTGAGCTGGCTCCAACTGGGACAACAGAGGTAGATATCACAACGAGGGTGGCAGAATCTGATGATCATGCGCTGACGTATCCGAGTGCAGTGACGGCAATCGCGGCTAGGAAAACAATCAGGCCTAGTGTGATGGCGTGGAGAAGAGAGGTGACGAAAGCTGATATCCATGCCAGCCAAGTTTCAAACCAAGAAAATAGATTAAACACAATAGGAACGCGGCCCAAAGACGGAGGTATAGACTCATATACGCAATACCTTCAGCTTTGCTGGGAAGTCAAAATAGGCAATACCGATCGAAAAGGTTGGGCGCCCGCACCTAAAAATGTGCGAGACCCGCAGTCAGCCGTATGCACGGCCTAAAAGTTGGCTTGATCCATCAATTAATCTAGTTTGACCCTTGGCTTCAAGATTTTCGATAGATCAAAGACTGGGGAAAGCGTCTTGGATATCACAGGCAGCGTTCAAAAGGTTCTGCGCCATCGCGACGACTAAATGAGACGGGTGAGAATTTCGTCGTAGTATTTGCTTCTACATGATATCAATATTGAGGATTTTGATGTCCTCTTCGGGTTTCTCTTTGTAGGTCCTGACGTTTTCGATGTTCTGAATAACATCGAACCCTTGAGTGGCTCGTCCGAAGATGGTATGCTTGCCATCCAGCCAGGGCTGTCAATGGTTAGTTGAAACCGACAAGGGCCTTAGCCTGGAGGGGTGGAGGGTAGTGTGACCACTTACCGTCTTTTCCGTGGTGATGAAGAACTGGCTTCCGTTGGTATTGGGTCCGGCATTCGCCATGCTTACAGTAAACGGCTTGTCGTGCTTCAGGCTGCTGAATTCATCCTCAAATTCCTTGCCCCAAATACTTTCGCCACCCGTACCGTCGCCTAGCGGATCACCCCCCTGGATCATAAATTTTTTGATTATTCGGTGAAATATCGTGTTGTTGTAATAGCCGTCCTTCGCGTGGGTGACGAAATTTTCCACCGTTTTCGGTGCCGCTTCGGGAAAGAGGCGTATGTGGATGTCCCCGTAATTGGTATGGAGGACTGCACCACTCCCTGTCGCTGTCGCCTTAGCATTGCCCTCCTTCTTGTTCCCCAACATGGTTGGTCGCTCATTGTGTACGTCTCTGCTGGCCTTTTGTACGTCCTCTTCGTTGGTAAACATGTAGAAGCGAACCTTTCCGACCCCGGTGGCAACCAGCATCGGGTCTCGGGCTTCCGCCTCTTGTAGAAGGGGATTGCTCGACGCGCCCATCTCGACCGAAACGATGCCCTTCTTCTGCGGCTGGCCCTGGTACAAGCCGAGGTTGACTGCACGAAAGTTCTCGTCCTTGCCATAAACTTTGATGACCTGATTCGTGTACGTGTTGAGGACCTTGATTCCAAGCATAGATCCATACACAATGAAATTTCCCGATTCATCAAATATGACGTTTGATTTGTGCCGTAGCAGTTGCGAGTCCACCTCTCGTTCCTGTGCGAGCCTCCTGCCGAACTCGACGCTGTTTAGTTTTTGGGACGTTGAACCAGTCTGCTGCATATCTTCAATAGCCTGCAGAGACTCATCGTACGTGCGCTGTAGCTTGCCGGAGCTGAAGTCGAATATGCGAATTTTTCGATCCGGGAATGAAAAGGTGACGAAGCTGTTGCCATTTGGCGACATTGTTAGACAAGTTGGGACCGCTTTAGCCTTCTTGAAATCGAACAAATTGGTCGAACTTTTGTATTGGAACACATTGTCCGGCTTTTCGTAATTTCCGCCAGGTTGCCAGTATTCAATCATGCCGTTCTCGTCCGCTGATACAACGCAGTCGTAGAAATCATTGAACGCCATGATATGAACCGGGCTTCGGTGCAGGCCCTTGATGGTATGTATCGGTTGCTCGCTCTCACCGCGGCCGTCATAAATGTGTACTAAAGGCTTGGATTCCTCTGAAATTGCCAGCAGTGGAAACGATGCTCCCTTCTGATGAACCCAACAGACGTATTTTGGCACGTAGTCCAAAGACAGCATAGACAGCAGGTCAAATGTGATGACATCAAAAATTTTGACCGTCTCGTCGACACCAGCGGTTGCGAAGCTCCGACCGTCCTTGCTCACGGATACGGCTTTAATCTCGCCGTTGTGTGCCTTGAACTCCTTGACAAACTCGATGCCCTGGGCAATCTTCTTCCAGAACTTGACCACGCCGTCAATGGAGGATGTAATGAGGAATTCAGTCAGCGGCGTCCATGTGACGAAGAGCAATTGCTCTTTGTGCATTAAGGACTTTGAATACCGCGCTGACTTTGGTAGCGCGGAGACGTAGAGCTTCTCGTAGGGCAGGACGCGGCGTTTCTTCTTGGGTGCTTCGGATGGGAGCTGGGGCCCCATATCATCGTCCGACGAGGAATCTATACTTTTGTTAGCTACTTGAAGGAAGTTTTGGAGGCTACCAAGGAGTCTTACCGGCTCCATCTTGTTCAGCGAAGTCTGCATGGCTGCGTTTTTGCGAGCGACTATCGTCGTCGCCCGCATCGGAATCAGGCATTTCTACCTGGAAAAGGGTTGCAAATGCAAAGCGGTAGGACCCCAAATGGGACGAGATCAGGTCAGCAGTAGGCGGTGACGAGCGTTTGCGGTGCAGATGGGTTCAATGCTGGGTTGATTATGCCATTCCCAGGATTACACTCGATTGTAACCATGCCTCAAGGGTCAAAATTCAAGGTCGCGCTTGCACTTGCCCGATGAGCTTAGAACAGCTCTTTTAGGTGACGGCCCCCCACCATGGGTCACCACATGCACTGTGTTGCACCAGACCGTTGACCAGTTTGGCGCAACCTGGAACCAGAAATTTTCAAAGTTCCAACTCTGCTACATATGTACTCGCATTATTGCTGATGTACGGAGTACGTGCCGAGTAATTTTCACCAGAACCAGATGTACGGACCTCTTGTTTGCCCCTGGTTTGAATGTTGACTGTCTTACAGGGTCGTCTCTGTCCTTTTTCGTTGTGCTGTAATTCGGGTCAGTTCCGCTCGTCACAACGCAGGGATTGAAGGCCTCGGGATGCATCCGCGCATCCAATGCTACCCCAGACTTCTAAGTTCTCGGCACCCTGTCCTCATTTATTGCAGTAGTATCCTGTTCGGTTGATTTAGTATCTTCTTCTTCTTTTTAGATCCAAACGACCATGGCTCGGCACCATCTCCAGCGTTTCCCATCTCCGTCGCCTTCCATCTCCCTGGCCATGCACCTGGCTGGGGTTGCGGCTCTGGGTAAGGCGTTCCAGTTCTTATTCAGCTGGGACACTCCCTTGGCCAAGTCGCATGGATGGTACTTTCAATTCCTGACCATCATTGGTCTAACACTGTCTCTTGCGGTCTTTGCGCTGGCTGCTGTTGCTGATGTCACGGGGAGTACGGCATTATTCGACCTTAAGAACCTCATATCAATCGTCGCTACTCCCCTCGAAGTCCTCGTGTCCACCTTGTACTGGGGTATATGCGCAATCGACACTTCTCTAATTGTCCCGCCTGGGTTTGAGCTATCGACCTGGGTAAACATTGGCTTCCACTTGGCGCCTGCTGTTCTTTTGACTCTTGACTTGATCCTGTTCAGTCCGCCATGGACCATCTCGGGCTACAGCATGATGTCGGTGAGCACCGTATTCGCCTTTTCGTACTGGTACTGGGTTGAGATATGCTTTAGCAAAAACGGATGGTAGGTGCCATTGGACAGTACTCCGTGGCATTTGTTGTAGAAATTCGTTGCTGACCAAATTTCAAGGTACCCGTATCCCATGTTCGAGCTGCTTACCACTGGCCAGCGGGTTTTGCTCTTTACGTTTTCAGCTGGTCTTGTGACGGCCTTCTCTAGCCTCTTGAGCTGGCTCTATGGTGTGGTGAATGACAATGAGCAAGCTCGGCGGGAAGCTCTCAAGCCCCTTAGAAAAGTTCAGTAAAGAGCTTTTTTTGGCGGATCAATAGCAGAAGGGAAACATGTGGTGGTTACAGCTGCGGTTGGCCGTATCAAACAGGCCCAGATGTGCAGCGTAGCCATCATATTTAGCAGATCAACACTTGCGTATGAGTTGAATAGATTAATAACTGTAATCTGCACTCTCGGCACACATCTAGCTATTTACATGTTAACTCACAGGCACATATGCATCACTGACAACATCACAAATTAGCCTTGACATCCCCAGGATACGAGACCTTCTTCAACAACGACCTCTTGATATCCGCGATAGTCTTTGCCCCGCAAAACCCCATAGTCAGATCGAAATCCGCCAAAATACCAGCAATAACTGCCTCGGCACCAGCAGCACCATCAATACCCAGCCCATACACCACGGGCCGTCCCAGAAACACCCCCTTTGCGCCCAGCGCAACGGCCTTTAGAATGTCTGCGCCTGTCCGTATCCCCGAGTCAATCATGACGGTAATCTTGTCACCCACGGCATCCGCAATATCTGGAAGAACATCCAAGGTTCCCACGGCGCCATCCAGCTGTCGTCCACCATGCGTGCTGACAATCAACCCATCCATGCCATGCTCCACGGCCAACCTGGCGTCCTCGACGCTCAAGATGCCCTTCAAAACAATCGGCCCGTCCCAGTACCTCCTGAGGATCTTCAGGTCCTCCCAGCTGCGGCTGACGCCGGGGAAGACCTCACTGCACCAGTACATGCCCGCCTGGACCTTGCTCTCCTCGGGCGTCTCACCATCCGTGCGCTGGGCAAACTTTTGACGGAACACGGGGTCGTTGAAGCCCACGTCGTCGCCCTCTCCCACAATGAACGGGACAGAGGCCGGGTCCAGGTCGTAAGGCCGCCACGCGAGCGTCCAGGTGTCGAGGGTGACGACGAGGACCTTGAAGCCGCTGACCTTGGCACGCGTGAGGATGGACGCTGTGATTTCTTCGTCGAGCGGCCAGTAGAGCTGGAACCACTTGGGGCCCCGAGGCACCTTCTCCACGAGCTCCTCGATGTTTGTGGAGGCCGCCGTGCTGAGGGTAAAGGGGACGCGGAGGTTGGCGCAGGCGGTTGCGGTTCCGACTTCTTTGTCATCGTGATACCACGACTGAACGCCTATGGGGGCCATGAGAACGGGCGTGTCTGTAGCAAGTCGGTCAGCATGGCCTGTGGCGCTGTGCCTGGCTACAATTATTCACAGGGCGGAAATTGGAACCACTGGATTCGTAGAACGGGCGAACCGGTCAGTTGGCGTACCGTATTTCTCTCCAAAAAGAGTCGTGCTCAAATCCCGGGGCGTGGTGGGCGTCAACACCCTGGGCACAATCTTCCACTGCCGAAACGCCAGTCTATCGGCATCCATTGTCGAGCTCTCTCCTGCGCCGCCTTTGATATAGTCCCATCCTTTCTTGGGCATGACCTTCTTTGCTTGCTCCTCAAGGCTGTTTGGATTGGTGGTCACAACGGGCGGGCTGCCTAGGAGGAGGCCTTTCTCGAGGATGGACCTGAGGTACTGAGCGCAGGGAACCCGTTCATCATCGTCGCTCCCAGACATTTTGGCGGTCCTGGGCTTGGGCTTTTGCACCTATATTGGCAGAATAGATGTGCTTTTGCTGCACGGCATGTCAGAGTGCCATGGCCCCATGGGTAGGCGTGAGAGGCGAAACGGGTTTATATCCAAGGCTGAGCTGTTGTAAGCCTCGGCTCAAACGGACTTTGAAGGGGCCAAATCCGGGGTATTAATTGCAGCTACTACTCCGTCCCTGTCCACTTGCATGGGCCATTTCAATGTTGGTTCATCCCCCACATGACAGCACGGTCGAATCACAGGCGAATTGGACAACCCAGAGAGGCAAGTTGGATTCGCATCAAGAATCGAAACAGCAGCGTAAAAACTACTCAAGTATAAACCATCTTTCCGCTCCAAATACTCTCGTCTTCAGCTCCTAAAGACCACATGCAACTACTTAAAGCTCCAACCAGCATCCACCAATCCGCCGACAAACCCGTCCACTGCCTGCCCCTCCACGCGCCACGAACTCCAATTCACCCCCACCATCGAAAAAGGCAGCATTGCTCAACTACACCACATCAACCTCGACTCGTTTCTAAAGGGAAAAGAAGACGAAAAGAAAGAAGAAACCCCACGGACCACATGTCCCTTAAACCCTCCCAAGTCTCATAGCAACCATGGATATCGACGACATCCTGCGTGAAGTCGACCCCGCCACCGACTCCATCCCCTCCGGCACACGCGATCTACAAGCCCTGACGCGTCGATGGGTAGCAGAGCGCTCAGCGCCCGAGCTGTTAGAGTAAGTCCAACAGCGGCAAAGGTGTCGCGCAAACGCCTTCCCCATACACTGGTCTGGATATCGTACTCCCCTAACACCGAGGGAGAGAGCAGCTGGCCGTCCGACGGGCTCTTCGAACGAGTCAACGACCGCATCAAGGCGCAGATTGAAAAGGTCGAAGACATGACGGGCGACATGGACCCCAAGGCCAACTTTTCCCTCATTGTACTGCAAACAGAGCTGGAGCGGTGGAAATTCCTCGTGAGAAGTTACCTGCGAGTACGAGTCTCCAAGGTACTCGCCACCTCCCTGGAACCAGTCAGGGACACACCGTGCTGACCCCTCGACATGATAGATTGACAAGCACACCCTCCATTACCTCTCTACCCAAGAGCTCCGGGACAGGCTATCCCCCACGGAACTGGCCTACGCAACGAGACACCAGGCCCTCCTGCACAATCACTACCTGTCCTCTTTTCTAGGCAGTTTTCCACAGCAGCTGCAGAACTTGAACGACACGGCGGGGAATATCAGCATGATTGATGCGCCGGATCTGGACACGGCCGTCTTCATCCGCATGCTGAGGAGCGCCGACGTTCACGGGAGCGGGACGGATGCCGACGTCACGCTGCCGGCGGAGGAGGGTGATGTCTTGATTCTGAGGTGGTCCAGCGCGAGGGCGTTGGTGCAGGACGGGGATGCGGAGCTTGTGTGAGAGACGAAGAGCAATGGAAGACGCAGGGACAAAACATGAAAATGAAGAGGTACTCGAAATCCAGTCTAGGCTAGTTTGGAAGAAGCTACTCTGCGAAAGAACGGGAGGTATTGCTTGCTTCAGGGGCAAGCGGCACGGCCAAATCAGGCCCAAGATGAGGGGGGCATGCTGCCGCATACGAGGGATGCTAGCAAATAGACAGCCGGCGCAAGACGGCACGGAGACCAATTCCCATGGACGACAAACGGGCATTTTGACGAGTTTAGGATACGGCATGAAAACGTGATAGATGGCCGGGAAGCCAGATATCTCAACGACACATAAATACAAATACACTCATGCAATTCAGCCCTAACTCCGAATGTGCCATAATCTAATTTTCCCAGAGTCATTACCCACAGCCAACACGTCGCTCTCCCTCCCAAACGCCACACAAGTGATTCTACCCAGCGGCGTCTGCTCCGTCGGCCAATTTCGATATACAGTGCAGCTAGGAAGGTGCACCAGCCGCAGGGCGTCCTTCTTCTCCCGACTACCAAACGCGAGCAGCTGGCCGTCCGGCGAGAATGCCAACACGGTGATGGGCGTGATGAGCTGCTCAAAGGTTCTGGTCGGCGTGGGCCGTTCCTTGACGACGAGCTCGTCGTCCCCTTGCGAAGCTATCAGCACGCTTCTGTCGTAAATATTCGCGATGCCGCTGTTCGATCCGACGGCCACCCAGCGGTCCTCCCCGAGGGCTGGGGGTCCGCCGTGCCCACCGAGACTGATGACGATGCCGCCGATGCAGCCGTCGTCGTGCCATATACCGACAAAGGTCCTCGACTCCATGCTGTATTCGCCGACTTGGCCGTCTCGACCGAGAATCGTCATGCCGTCCCCGGTACTCCACCACGCGAAATCAGCAATGCCGTGTCGGCTGGATAGTCTGGCGGCGGCAATCCACTGCGTGGAGGCTACGCTGAGGACGTTGATCACGCCACCGCCCTTTTTTGTCGATGCGACAATGGCCATGTATCGCCCGCAAGGGCTCAGCTTGAACTTCTCCATGGTCTTGTGCTCCAAGCCATGTCCGGTGATTTGCGTCGTCTTCTGCACAATACCGGACGGTAGGTCCCACTGGTGAAAGTATCTTCTACGGCCACCAAAGAAGATCTTGTCGCCTTGCGGGTACAGAAACTCCGCTCTTCGCACGTCCACTTGCTTAACCTGGACAGATGTGAGCTGCGGGTTTGGCGTCGGCTGGGCATCGGGCGCGATGTGGTGCAGGTATAAGATTGATGCTCTGCTGGCGGACAGCAGGACGGGGTATTCGGGGTGGAAGGAGAGACACTCGACTGGGGCCCTGTGCTTGTCTGAAATGTCTCTTGTCCTCTGGATGTCGAGGACTTCTGGCCGCAGCCTGCGCTTCTTGGAGGCCCCCAGTCCGGCTAGCTGTTTGACGTCTCGCAGGAACTCCTCTAAAGGCTGCGCGGACGATTCCGAGTCTGAGTCTCCGTCAGAGTCGCTGGTCGAATTTGACGCTGCTGATGAGCGTCGCCGTCTCTTGGACGCCGGCCGTCCGGCGTTCTGTTTGGCCCAGGCCGGTGCAGGGTTTAATCGCAGGAATTGTTGGCGTAGCCGCCTCGAGTATTCCGAACCACTGACAAGATCATCCGCCTCAGTCATTCGCAATTTCCGCAGCCTGTTCGCACCAGCCAAGGAAATAACTAATCGGTCGTCGTCGCTATCCTCCCACGCCGGTCTATCGCCCTCTTCGACCTTTGGGGCATTTGCCAACGGCACTGACGCCCTCCCTGCGCCGGTATCCAGTACGAACAAGTCGGCATCATCTACTTCTTCTAGGCCGCCAGTATCGGTATCGCCCATTTTAATGTCGCCATTCCCATCATCGTCCTCGTTAAGAATTCCATGTTTGAAAAGGTTTTCTTTAAACCCAGCCTTGTTTCCAAGAACCAATCGCTCGAGCTCCTCTTCGTCGGAGTCCTTTTCGAAAATACCAGCTCTTTTGTTGGCATTGGGCGGATTACCAGTCTCAGCGTCTGAAGAGAGCTCGCTTTCGGAACTCTCTTCGTCGAAATCCCAATTATCCAGTTTATTCGCCATTTTTACAATGATGTAAATGGGCGGCGGGCGAAAAGGTGGTTATCGGCGTTGGCAAGATTTCGAGGTGGTGGAATTTTTTTTTTTGGATGCCAACGTCAGCCTTGCAGACGGACCCCTCATATTTATGGGCCGAGAAACCCATTCACCAATAGGAGTTCGGTAAAGTCGCAAGGCTGATTGTATCATCGTCCCTGAGTGTGAGAATGTTTCCAAACAAGAGGGGAGTAAGGACCTTTTAGGAGTATTTCATGACTGCTCCTCAGACTATATTTTTCTACATCAACAGTAATACATGTTGGAAATTTTTGTGGAAGCAACTTGGGTCACAGCAATCCATGATATGAACCCAACACAGTAACACCAGAAATGGGAAAAAGTTGAATGTTGATTTTATTGTCCAATTAAATAATCATCTAAAAGAAACGGTCTTCGTGAGTGTATCCTCCAGTGTCCTCAATTTCGGACTGACAGACTGCGTACTCTTCAATGTCAACACAGCTCCCTTCTGAGCCACATCAATCAACTTCTCAACACTCCCACCCTGCGCCAATCCAGAAACAAGAACGCCCAAAAACGTATCTCCAGCACCATTGACTGATACAATGTTCTCAACTTTTTCTGCTGGTGGGAAAAGCCGCATGTAAATTCCGCCCACGGTAGGGTGGTTCGGTGACGCCCTTGCCAGTATGTACTCTTCTGCATCTCTATCCCGAAGACGCGGGTCATCTCGACCGAGAATACTTGTCAATAAGACGCCATTCGGCCCAAGTTTTGTCAGTAAAGTGGGTATATAAGGTAGCAGATTGACGCATTGCACCGGCACTCCCGTGTCCGTCAAGTCTGCGGATGTGAGCCTTACGAAGCGGTCTCTGGCTCCCGTCATTCCAAAAGCGTCTATGACCTTGAACCAATCTTGGGAGTCCAGGTATCCGTTCTCCTTTGCGACTTCGTACATGGCTGCCAGCTCATACGTGTTTGGAGACGCCATGTCGACGCTTGCATGGGGAAAGATGTCAAGCTTGGGAATGCCGCGCTGGTTTGTGAATAGGCTCTTTGATTTGGCAACGGACACTGGCTCGAATGCAACTTTCGCGTTGTGGTCTTTGCCTATGCTAACCCATTCTCTAATGCTGCTGGCACTCCAGTTACCGTCAACTACCAACCATCTCGGTGAAGTCGCCTTCACTGTTGACCGCCATTCCTCGGGGAAAGAGTATTGAGTGAAGATACCCATGTCAGCCATTGCCATGACAAGATTTCGGTTTGCATCGTTGATGGCGACATATTGAGCGGTTCTGCTGCCAGCGTGTTCTTTGCTTTGAAGCATCTTGACATGTGCAGTGTCCAGTCCAGATTGATGTAGAGAAGAAACAACAGTTGAGCCAGCTCTATACAACGCGGTCAGAACTGATTATTTCGGAGTGACAGCATAAGGGCCGGACTTACATATCGTCAGCGACCATACTACAGAAGTCTACCTTCGTCTTGCTACTCGCCAAATGCGCAGCCAAAGCTACGTTGTGGCCAACGCCACCAATTGACTGAGTAATGGAGGCGGGATTAGAAGTATGCGCCTGCGGTGAAGCATCTCCAGATTTGGAACCGGTGAAATCACAGCTTAGGTCAACAGCCACGCCCCCAGCAACGAGGACGTCAGTCTTGCTGTTGGTTGCATCTTGCGCTTTAAGAAAGACTGGGCTGTGTGGGGGCATGAATGCATTTTTGCTATCTACAATTAGACCTAAACGTCTTTCACGTTGCAACCACGATTCCACTTACGAACTTGTCGCCGGCCGAGGCTCGTTCGCCAGCAACCGCGACAACTCAACAGAAATATTAGTGGCTCGTGTAATATTTGCGGTGGCCAAATTCTTGTTTGCCGAAACAACCCTCTCCCCACACAACTCCCGGAGTCTTTGCAGGATATATGGCGTGTTGGCACTCCCAGTAAAGCCTTTCTCATTGGCTTCCGACACCGCCTGCTCGATGGCCGCGTGCATTTCGTCTGAGGGCACGGCAAATTTCTCGGGAATTGGATTGGCAAACAGGAGGCCTGACTCGATTCCAAGCCGTTCCTGTGCCAGTATCATGGATGCTGCTTCCTTCTCCGTGTTGACGACCGACGGGCTCTTGGCGCCGCTGTCTCTGGCCCAGAAAGCAGGGAAGTCTATTTTCCCTTCTCGGCCGTCGGCAAATGTTGAAACAGCACAGCCCTGCGTCTCTAGGTATTCCAATGTTCGGGGAATATCCAGAAACCCCTTGCAGCCGCTGCTAATGACAGCCACGCGTGTACGTCCTAACTCGGTGAGGTCTGCAGAAATATCCATTGAATTTTGACCCCCTCTGTGAACACCACCAAGGCCGCCGGTACCGAAGACCCTGATACCAGCTAGTCTTGCGAGCAACATGGTCCCTGAGATGGTCGTTCCACCATGCATCCTGCGACCAGAAATACCCTGCACAACCTGTCAGTAAACGGTCACGACCACGTATGATGGTGCATCACTCACCATGCCGACGAGATATGAAATATCCCGGCGTGAAACTTTGGCGGCGTTTCCTCTCTCAACGATGCGCATCATCTCCTTGCCCGACACACCTACGGTCGGCACCCCATCCACTATGGCAATGATTGCCGGTATACCACCAAGACTCCGAACAAGGTCCTCATGTTCCAAGGGGAGGTCCTTTGACAGCGCACCATGCGTGTAAATGGTTGATTCCAGAGCTACCATAGGCTTATTCTTGGCCACAGCGTCGGCAACTTCGTCTGAGACGCACAGCCAATCCCCCAGGGCCGGCGAGCCCTTTGATGAATTATTGCTCGCAAAGCCTCGGCAACCGGTAGACTCCGACGCGCCATTGCGTCCCCAAGAACGCGTAAACTGGAAGCAGAC